GCGCTTCATTCAGGCACAGCCCGTCGGAACAGGGCTCGTACTCCCCCGTAGACTCCTGCTCACCCTGTGAGGTTGGCGAAGACTGAGCCAAAATCATCGTAGGGGCCAGGTTGGCGGCCATCATGCTTTGTGTTGCAGGCGCCCCAAGCCTTCCATACGTTGCGATCTGCTGTTGGGGCCAGCCACCAGCAGTCCACGTGGGCGGGAGGGACATTCTCTGTGGCAGCGTTCCGGCTTGCAGACATATGACATTTGAGCCAAGACTTGAGCCATCACTTACACTTTGCCGCACCGGTCACACATGTGTCAGCTTTGGGCCACCCGCGCTTCGCGCGTCGCTCACAGATCCGGATATGTCACCGAGCTCCAGCCTGCCAACTACGCGGCTCTCTTCGACGCCGTCAATGCGCTGTAAACTGCACGAGGATCGCCTGGCCGCTGCTCGCGTGGACCTCCGTAAGCTTGGACATCCAGGCAAAGCTCCGAGTGGGAATGGCATTCTCAGTGCTCATGACTAGGTGACCCGACCAGGCACTGCTCTGGTGCAGATCCAAAGCTAGTGCTTCGCTGCAATCTGTGACGACCTTGAACAGCACGGTGTGAGGAATGCCTAACTGCATGCTAACGGGTGCTGCAAAGCCTGTGGCTTACGAGTATGATCGCCGCACCACGCAGCGCTGAGGCGCTGTTCCAAAAACCGTCTAGTGGTTTGCTCCGGGTTCCCGCGGGAAGGTTATTGCCAGCGCCGGCGAATTATGATTTTCATTTATAATGACCTTGAAGTTCCATCAAGCCGTCATCGTTGAAATTATTGAAGCCTGCATAGTTGCCTGATGAGCCGATGTGGCCTTTAGCAGAAGCCAAAACACACAAGTTGCTCCTTTCGTCAACTTCGACTTTCGAATCAGCGGCCTTCTCTCAGCGCGGGGTCTGGCAACAGGAACTTCTGGAGCTTCTCACTATTTCTGCTGCAAAGCGCACGAGCAATGGCTGATGACTACTGATAAGTGATTGCAAGTCAACGAGTCCCCCAGCAGCTCTCAGCACATCGCTTCCCTCATCTGGGCTTCGCGCAAATTGCCAATGCGCTGCTTTCAACTTCGCCTTTGCCCGAGTGATGTAGGCTGGCCTTGTCCCAACCCCCAATTGCCAGAAGGGCGCACGATATCCCGCAGCTTGAGCAACCGAGCACGGTGCACATTCAAAGGATCCAAGCGGAGCGCCTGCGTGTTACTGAGTTACTGCATACAGATAAGGCAGCCGGACTCCAAACTTGACCGAGGCACCTCGTTGGCATCTGCGACAGCATCGTCCAGCTTGTCCCTCGCACCGAGTTTTGGCACTTTTTTGTGTGGCCCGTTCGGCAAACTTATGGACTCGTAATGGGCTTAAGGCTCACTTGCATCAGCCAGCTGTTCTCCCAGAAGTACACACTGGGGCCGCTGGCTGCAATCGCTTGGCTTCGGCGCGTGCTGCCCAGCCTTCATGCAAACGATGAGAAAGAACAACAACTTGCAGCACAATAAAAGCAAAAGCTGTATTCTTTGATTCCACTAACAAACTCCTAAGGCCTGTGCAGAAAGGGACTCGCTCCTGAGCGTCGTACGATTGAAAGCACAGCTCTCCCACAGATTTCTTCGCACTTGACCTCACCTTCGAGCTGTGCATGGTACGTACAAGTATCTGAGCATCCGAGGCCAAGTCATTCAGCTGCAAAGCACGAGAGCAGTCTTCAATAGTTCCGTCCTTAACGCGAAGCATACGAAACCCACTCCAGGATGAACCAACTGAAGCAGTCAGGGCGCCAAGTCTCCCAGCGCCACTTTGGCCTGAGCCAGCATCGTGTACAAGTCTGCCAGCTCCTGGCAATGAGAGCACCGTCGTAATCCTTATCATAAGTGACAAGTGTTTCAATGCATGCTCCCGCAATGAAGAATCTGAAGTAGCCTCGATCTCTGATCTGTCCATGTCCCTCTCGGCTTCCTATGGGCCCACACACTGTTCGGACTTCAAAGGATCAAAAAGCCTTGTGCTCCCCACCACTTGGACGGCAGAAGTCTCGGCATCAAGTGAAGCTCCTTCCTGACCTGCGTGGCCAACACAGCAAAGCAGTGGAAGGACGAAGGACGACTTCTGGCCTGGCCTTCCCCGTCCTGCGAGTCCACAGGGCTGTCCGGGGCTTGCTCCTCCTGTCCTGCGGTCGTGCAACCTCCGCTAGAAAGCATCGCATGATACCCTGGCACATGGCCGGGTGATCGCACCCGGCCTGTTTCTACCTCGGCTCTTTGCTCTGATTCTTCAGGGCTGGGCTCGATCATCTCCATCTCCTGCAAGCCCAAGCAATGCAGCAGCAAAGCCGCGAGCTGTGTTTGGTCATCCTCGCCGGTGACTTCTGGCCTCAGCCACGGCTGGCCCCTTCAACGGACGTCCGCCGAGGTTGCCCAAATGCAAACTAGGGCATGGCTCTGCAGTTGCTGACGTAGCGAGAGAGGCACTCGAGGCAGCAAGCCTTGCGAAATTGTGTTGCATCATACGGCATAAGGCATAAGGGCGCCGTCTACAAGTGCCCAGAGGCGTCGTGCAACGTCTCGTGCCCAGCGCTGCAAAGCGAACTAAGGCAGCGTCTTGCTGACTGTTTTCTTCTCCTGACAAAACCCATGCCCCATGCCTTGCTGCCACGAAGTCTCAGATGTGCGGCAGGCTGGCCTTGAATTTCCGACGCTCCTGTGGGGCTGTGAATAGACATGACTTGTCTGCCGATTGCGCAGGTGCTTCCGAAGTGCGAAGGCACAGAGCGTCCTTGTTTCGCGACATGCCAGCTTTCTTTTTGGACTTTTTCTGAGTTTTGGCCTGATACAAATCCACAAGCAGCACGGGAAGACGTGTGAGAAAGCTACACCCTGCCTCGGCTTCGCCTTTCGGATCCAACCTGGCTGGTGCGCCCAAGACAATAGTGCGTGCGATCGTTCAGAACGGGTCATCCTACATCTTGTTCTCATGCAGCCATCTCAGGTTGTAACATCGCGTGTACCGCTTGATCACAGTACTCAAGGGCTCCATGGTTGTCACCTCAGATCTGTGTGGCATGCAGCACAAGCTGTACGGCTTATGAAATTATTGCAGCACGACCTTTACATGGGCCAGGAAGGCGACGCCACTGTCGCGCACGCTTGCTTCTCTTTGTATCTTGACACGAAATCGTGCGACAAGCTTGGTCACGTGCCCAAATTCAGCAGCGCCGCACCCAGCGTCGACATGGCCAAGCGGCACTGCGCCTGAGCTGTGTTGATTCTCGGCGGCTACGTCGCAAGACATATGGGGCTGTGGCATCGAGCGCAAGAGACTGCCGACAATCGTCAGCTGCTTCCCGGTAGCATTTTTGTCTCCTAAGTCTCTCACAATGTTGCGAAGGATCAACAGGGATCGGCAGTGGGACCGACAAGCAGTTCATGAACCAACTTTGATCAGGCTGAGCCAGCCTTTGGCATCCCCGAATCTTTAAACTCGTCATTTGCACAAAGTTGCCAAAACAAGCTTGCAAACCAGGCTTCAGCCGCGCCCTGCCCCGCGTGGCCCACGCAGTAGCCTTGTCGGGTGAAATAGCTTGCCAGCAACAACAACCAGCTTCATCAAGATGCTACAGACTTGCCTCTCAACCGCAAACATATATGACCCAGCTCTGCAATGGGCACTGCACCAGGGATTTATGTGTCAGCTGCTACAGCAGGAAGTGTAGGGTGATGTGATGTACTCAGACCGCCACGCTGTCCGGAATCGCTTTCAGGGCATCGCTACAATCGAGCTCGCAGGCGGCGAAGAAGCCCAGTTCTTGGCAGCCAGCGTTTTCGGACCCGTGTGCGTGTGATCGCGCTGCTTCAGATATTCCGATGCATCAAACACCCATGTCCTTGCCTCCTGGCAGCACCAGGTAGCAAATTCAAGCAGGCAACCCAGCACGTCCAATGCCCTTGAACCAGGCAGCAGGCGAAGCTGCGCTTGGCCGCGAACGAGCATAGCCTGCACTTTGCTTCTGGGACGGCCCCTAGGGGCCGAAACTGCGACCCGAGCCATCCGAGCCCAAAGCCTCGCCTCGTGCAATCCGGGGTTCAGGAGCAGCGCGGAGGTACAGGCTTTTGAGATGGACTCCGGCCCCGCTGCCAGGCCTCGGCAGGAGTAAAGTCACCACTGGTGCAAAAACACATCGGTACGTGCCCAGCATTGTTGATGAACACTTCAATCTTGCAGCAACTTCATCATTTATCTCATCCAGAAATGGATGTGGAAATATTTGGAGCATGTGCGTCGGGTTTTCGGGATGCCGGTAAGCGTGCCGAGTTTTGGAGCCGGAGGTAATTTCACGGTGGATGGGCACCTGGTGCAGTCTTTTCACGCCCTTCAGGTTGAGAAGCGATGCCTTCAGCTTTAGGCCTTACCCCACATGGCAGTGGGATCCACGGGGTTTGTTCGGGTCTGCCGGCGCTGCTCTGTACCAACCCCCCGGTGACCGACGCAGAGGGGCAAAAAAGGCGAGAGGGATCGCTTCCTGAAGTCGGAGACCAACCGAGGTCGACATTGACTCACTCACTTTCCGCAGCGATTGCATGGCTTCTTCGGCGCCCACGAGCAGCTCGAAGATCCGTCGGCGGCCCTACGACAAAGACCACCTTCTAAGCTCAAGCTTGCCTCATGCTCGCTTGGCCTCCAAGGGTGCTGGCCAGAGTAGTTCGGTCTGGCTCCCTCGAGCTTCAGTACTCATCTGCTCATGGGCATCGCGGCATCACGCATTTCCTCCATCATGACGGTTGTCGTGTGCTTGTCGTCAGGCGCTGCGTTCGTGAGCCTGCTGGACAGTCGTGCTTGCACTGTTCCGGCCGACAGGCCACAAGCCTGCCGTGCCTTCCGTCGAGAGACAGGCAGCTCGCAGTCCATCGCGCCATTTGTCCAGGGCATCGTGCTTCGGATGGTCCTCAGAGGGAGATCTGCTTACTCCAACTAAGTACAGTTTCCGTGACCGCCTATGGCCAGGCCTGCAAACAAATCGAAGAGCGCCCCACGTCAAGCCTTCTTGTGGGATAGCATGCCTGGCTGAAAGGGGTAAGTACCAAGTCCTCAGGCGATGGTGACAGATCTCCCGCATCCCCGCCCGGCCTCTCATCGGACAGCCGGCTCAAGCTGCAGAGGCTCTCCGGCCTGAACTCGGATCCCAAGCCCTGGCCCCTAGCCCGGCCCGCGGCTGCCTCGTCGGGAATGTGAAACGCTTTGCCCAGCGCGGGGAAATGGCTTGCCCGGCGGCGGCGGCGTAGCAGCCTCCCATGTTGCTACTTGCGTTCGCCGTCTGTCATTTGCCTGTCATGGACTGAAGACTGAAGCCTCATGACTCCGATGAAGGCATTTTCGGATCTCCACTTTGGACATGGCTTCGCCAGCTTCTGCTTCTGCACGTCCTGAAGAGCGGGCTGCTGTCGATGGGGGTCGCATCAAGGACTCTGCCCTCGACGGTCCACGTTGTCATGGTCCATGAATGCAGGCACCCAAACATACCTTTCACGAGGAAGACAGTTTTGTCCGGCACTGGCGATCTGAGCACAACTGGCGAAGTCAAAACGGGAACGGCTCTGGGCCCTGCCAGCATCGATGGCGGTGCGCCTTCTCTAGCCTCATGTGTGTACTCCGAGCGTGCTCTCCACTTACAACAACTGTCTGAGCTGTGCAGGCTGCACAGAGGCTGTTTCGACTAGTGGCCCCAAGCATACACACACACACACTGTGCCTGTGCCACAAGTGGAGGGGATAAGATGGGACAAGCTTTGCTCCCGACATCTTTTCCAACGATTCAATGGAAACCATCCGCAAAGCCTGCAGGAGTTCGGGACCTCGATCGTCGATGCTCCACTGGAAACTTCAAGCAAGTGAGAACAAGGGGAGACGGGAGAGCCTCACACTGAGCTCTCGACCAACCTGCTGCATGGGCCATCGAACAGTGAAGCCAGAGGAGTCGAAGATCTCTCCATACGGCGGCTCCTTGGTCAGAGACCGTATGCCAAGTCACTCTCGCACGCAAACCTGACATAACCTGACCGTATGACCTGCTGAATCGGACTTCCTTTGAAGATGATTCGTCGCAGTATCTTGCTGTCCTCGAGATGTGAAACTGGCGGAATCCTTATCCTGTTTTATTGGTTGTCGCGTTCTGCGCACCAGTGGTGCTCGTTCATTCCGTTTGCATGCAGTTAGTGTGGTTGAGTGGAAGCTGTGTCTGTCCCTTGCCAGATAGTCTTTCGACCGTCTGCCAGGCTGTACGTGGTCTTCTCTCCGGAATCCTATCCGATATCTGTTTTCCACAGCTTCGTCCGTGGTCTTGGCTTGTTCATTCCTGAACCGTCGGGAGTGCCGAGGTCTTGTTGCAAAGGCAGGGGAACCAACCGGCAGACCAGCATGTATCCCGGGTCGCTCGCTTGATCCTTCGCCACGGTACTTTATAGACTCTGTAGACAATCCGCTAAGTTTTGGCAGAACCCGAGGGCTGGGCATAGAAGTCGTTCAGAAGGACTGGCACGCAATCGGAAAAGAGCACGCGGAAGAACCTCACAAGCACGAGGCCCGAAACACTGAAGTTCTCGTGTGCCTCGGGCACGGTGCACCCATCTGCAAGATGAACTCAGATGCACTCAAAGTGTTTAGTATAGTTACTATAGTTGTGTCAAACTCTGCAAGGGCACCTGGAGGACCATGCCGACTTGCCCCTCGGAACGAAGCAAAACCGGGAAGACAGCGCTCCCTCAGTTGCCTGGTCGGAATCCAGCGTGTCTGATGGCAGGAAACAGCTGGCAGCTGATGGTATGCAGCTGCGGCCTCTCGATAGGGTACATCTTGGCGGATGTGAAGGTCGGGCCTTTGCTGTAATGCGCTGGAACCCCCGATTCGCGACCTCTCTCGACCTGTTTGGGAAAAGGGGCCACATAGAGAGAGGGAGGAAGTCTCCCGAACCTACCACCCTTCCGCTCTCGCAACAGGCATGGCTGGGGTTTAGACTCTCGCGACTCGGACGATGCAGGCTTGTCCATGTTCGAAGGCAGGCATATGTGGCCCAGTAGGTCAGGGCAGAAGCTAGGGTTTGAGGGACGGAGAGCTTTTGGAGCGAGCGTTGGACCTGGGCTCTGTTTGCTGCCCCACTGATCCCGCCAGCACCATGACCGCACGACAGTGCCGTCGGTCCACCCTTCCTGCTGCGTTTTGGGAGGACCTTGACTGCGCTCTTGACCCATTGTTGCCACAGTGAGTACGAGCCCAAATGGACTGGGACCACCTTGATGAGCGGCTCTGCCGTGGCCGGGGCTGTGTCCCCTGCCGCAGCGATCGCCTTTCCACCGCATTCGGTGAAATGGGTGCGGGCTCCACTTCTCGAACATCCCAGGATCATATGTTCCTGAACAAGGTTGTGTCAAGAGTCGGTTGAGCTTGTCAAGCTTGGCGATCTGCTCTATCCTAAACTTGCAGGCAGTCAATCCTCGCCCCACTTTGATGAATGCAGGTCCGCTCAAAAGTGTGTGTCACTAGCGTGTCCCAGGGCGGGTTAGGCAACCGCTGCCAGTAATAAGTCGCGCTTGTTTGGCGCACTCTTGACCTGTGGCTGGGTCGAGCAATCACTTCTTTCTGGGTTCGACTCGTTTTCTTGGAGAAGGGGCATGTTGTGCTTGGTACTGCTTGCAACGAAGCCGCTTCCCTGAGTTCGAACATTCGAACATGACGGGTCAACGAACCACTGGTGCTGGCATGCAACTACCAAAACCGTGCTCGACTCCTGGTTTGTGACATGTCCTGCCGGATGGCTTCACTTGCCCTGTGCGCAATCGACACTTCCCAATGTGAGCGGGGGGGTGGGGCGGGGAAGCGCAGTGTCGGGATTCTGTTGCTGTCATTCTGCTCGGAGTGATAGATGGGCGACTGAATCGTAGCGGTGACATTGCGCACAAGAATTCGCCTCTTGCGACTGGAGGGCTCGTTGGCCATCTCAAGCAGGAGCTCCCGAGGAGAGCCTGAGAGCAGATGGCTCACAGCCTGCTGTGTCTGTATCAGTCAGGAGTGCAGTGAAGTGTACAGCCCACCTTTCTCGGATGACTGCCGGGCAGGAGATACATAAATGACATCCCATGCTCAGCTCCTCTCCTATTATCTTGAACAAAACCTCAAGCTAGACTTCCAAGCAAAGCACTGGAGTTCAAGCCGCCCTGCGCGTTGTGCAGGGGTCGATTCCAGCCAACCTGATATTTTGGGGACCGGTGCAGAACCCCATTCTGCTATGCTTGTGTGTTCTCGCCTGTCTTTCACCTGAAAAGAAGAATTACTGCCAATACTGCATCTCACCTTCAGTGTTCATGGTGATGATGATGATGATGATGATGATGACGGTGGTGGTGGTGGTGGTGGTGGTGATGAGGATCATGACCATGATGGTGACGGTGGTGATTAAGATGGCGAAGATGATGAATGCGGCGACAGTTTCGACAAAAGTGCATCAAGCTACGAAGATGATGAAGATGAAAATGCAGATGATGATGATGATGATGACGATGACGATGACGATGACGATGATGATGATGGTGATGCTATTGCTGTCGCAGGAAATGTACCAACGTGAAACTGTGAGAATCGTTTCTGTCTGCCGGTCTGCCTGTCTGTCCGGCTGTCTGCCGGTCTGCCTGGCGACTGTTGTAGCTATGCTTTGCTCAGGATTGCCAAGATCTCGCTTGTGAGAGCATCCACGCATTCAGACATCCAAGCATCCATACATGCAGCCATACATGCATACCTACATACATATGCGGTGTGTATGTGTATGCATGCACCTACCTGTAAACTATAAACCGACCATATAGCTGCCTTACACTCTAAAGCTCTGCATGCAGCTAGAATGACTGCCATCACTGCATGTTGCTGTGTCAGGCTACATCATACTTCATTGCACCTTATGTGGAAGTTGTTTGTCTCTGAGGGCCGGGCAAAGTCTGCCAAGAACTGCCGCGATGCAGGCTTTGGCGTGACTTTGGACAGTTGCACCACCTCCCCGACAGAGATCCTGCCGGGGATCAAGATGTCCTGACGTGTGGGCCAGCTGCTGCTTTCGACATGTCTATCATGGAATTGGGCCAAGCACTTACATTTAGTTCCCTTGTACGCAGGTGCGCGGAATGGAAGGCTACCAGTCCCTGCCATCCGTGGCGCTTCACAACTGCAAACGGCAGTGTCCTTCCACTGCGAAAAGGAGGGAGTTGAGATGTCGCGATATGGATTCCAAAGCTCCGTTTCCTCAGCCATGATCGAGCATCATAGTACAGCATGGAGCTGACTCCACTGGTGACACTGCCGTCACGATGTCACTTGCACGTCGTCGGGGGCCAAGAGACGGTCATGAGGAAGATGGCATCCTCGACGTGCGCACGCCATGATCGGAAGGGCCCATCGGCTCCTCGGACCGAGGCCTTTTTGCCTCCCTTGCCAAGACACGTGGCTGCAACAATGCGACATCCGATGCTTCCGAGGAGCCAAAGCCACCGCCCCACACGAAGACGTGGTCCCTGCCCCGCGAGCGTCTGTAATGCGTCAGTCGTTGAACCAGGCCTTGGTTGCAAAGCTTGAAAAGCACGTAAGCCCCGAAATGCCTGCCTGCCTCCTCTGTCCGCTTCTTGCTTGAGAAAGAAACAGTCCCCTAACTCTCTCTCCGCAGCTGAATCCTGATGGTCCTACAATGTGAGACAGTCCACTGCGCAGTCAATTTTTCACATTCAGTTGACGCTTATAGGGCAAAGCTGAAATGAGGTACGGTGTGGGAAACAAGGAGAAGTCGAAGTTTGATGCCTGCTTGCAGCACTGCAGCTCTTGAAAAGCTCGTCAGACTGTGCCTGGGCATGCTGTCTGTACTTGCGCTTTCTTGCGTGCCACAGTCTTTTGTGGCAGTGGTGGATTCAGCGGACGTGCCTCTGTGAACGTCTCCACGTTCAGGTGGCAGGCGGTGTAGTGAGGAACGAAAAAGAAATCCGCCTTAGATGCGAAGTCCAAGAGCCACTCAAAGAAGTGTCCACACACCGACACAGGCCTAACATGACAATGACTTTGCGGCCCAGCCGGCCTCCAATGGATTATCGGTGCGGCAGGGACATGAGAGAAACCATTCGTGCAAGCTGACCTCGAAGCCCCACTGGTTCTCTCCTCGGACCAACTCAGTCTTCAGATGTCTTCAGAAACTATAGAGAGAACAGCTGGAGAAGGTCATAAGTGTGAGGCGGCAAAAGGATGCTCCACGCGCAAGCGTCCGAAGCTCCGGGTACTCCTGTTCAAAAAACTCCAGTACCAGGATACGCACCCACAAAATTTCAACGAACTTCACTGGACTCGAACCTGGCACTGGCTCCTCAACGTCATAGACGTAAATCTTCAGGGCGTCTCGGAGCGGAACTCCTTCCTCCACATCATCTGAGCCTTGAAATCCGAACACGTTGCCCTCGAAGCCTTGATGGCACAAGACATGACATATGGTCGACAAGCAGAAGAACGAGATCAGAGGCTGGCACGTTCGCCCTCGCTGTTTTTCCATTTGGTAGTTGTCCTGCGGGATCTGCAACAGTCTGCACTGTGACACCTGCATGGCCGCAGCCCTCGTGAGGATGCATTTCACGGGTTTCTGCAGCGACCCAGTCCTTTGTTGCGATGCGCTAGCCAGGTGTCTCCTCATCGAGTCCAGCTCGGCGACCTTATCTGGGCTTGCATCATGCCGACATACACGAAGTAACAGCTTGAGTTGAGTCTTCACGATCCATGCTGCCACCGGTGACGCTGAGATCGATGCAGTAACAGGCCATCGCTGGCCATCTTGGGTGATCTGATCAAATTTGTCTGGATGTAAGCTGGACCTTGGTGCAGCCCGTAGATCGCTTCCCCTTTGCTGTTGTAGCGCACATTGCATGCCATAGCATGCAAGCAGCACGTAGCCGCTCATCGATCTCATCAGATAAACGGCCGATTCCCAGCTGCCGTCCTCCTCGCCAGGAGCACGAGCACGACATTGTGACATTCTGCATTGTCTTATCCCTGGCACTGGAGCATGTTCAAGTCAAGCGCTTCAGGCTGCGACTTCCAAGGAGTACTTCGCGAGAAAGTAGAGGGAAGTCTGAGCTCATGGGCCATTTCGATATGAGAAAGTAGCTCTCTCATGCAGATCATCTGCACAGCAGCCCCTGAGTCTGCTACAATAACTCCAAGAAGGCAACTCTTCGCCTCTTCATCCATGACTTTTGTCCTGCAAAGACAAGGCTCGTCTGAAGCTACTGAAACTTCGCCACCGGCAGGAGTGCAATTGAGCTTCTGGCTTCATCATGTCCTTTGTGTTCATCCATTCCTGGTCGAGCTCTCTAGACTGAAGATTAAGATAGTGTTGAACAACCGGCGAAGGGCTTCGTCCGTGTTCGTGTCGGACTGCAGAAGCCCCCAGCACTACGCATGTATTTCACCTGTGTCTGTCACGGGCTCTCGCCAAACTGAGATCTCGGCGAAAGCGAAAGCAGCCGCATCTCGCCACTCTTCCGTGGCTAAGCGTAGGAGCTGCCGGCGGTACCTCCGGTCCATCATCGGAAAGCACAACAGGAGTCAGGATTTGGACTCAGGGGTTCCGGCTCTGGCCAGCCCTCGGCGGATTCACAGCCCGGGTCCTGTGACTACAGACAGGTTCTGACCCACCGAGTACCACTTAACTTTTGTTGCGTGCGAAACATGCTCAATATTTGGCGGCCTAGGCCTAGACATCAGTGCTCCCGTCTCATTAATCTCTTCATTTTGCAGTCCGAAGAACCGGCCATGCAGGCCTGCTGCAGATCCCGAGCAATCCTACATTCCAGCCCTATGTTCTAGCAGCCCTGCTCACACTTTCAGGCACACACGCGCTCTTGACATCACAGGCTTTCGGATGCTGCGATGAACCTAAAAATTGCAACTCCTGCAAGTAGGCAAACAGGCATGTAATGCTGTGTCCGACAGGGCAGTGGCCGACTCTGGCTTCTTTGCAAACCTGGCTTTGTCGGACAGGTGAGGATTCAACATGAGCCCACGTCAACGCAGCCAAGCAACTCGGGATCATCTGCCAATGTGAGCCCACCTCCGATGTGCCCCTTGTTGACCCTTCGCTCGCCTCTGCTTCATCCGCTCTTTCAACATGAAGCACCGGCTTGGCTGAAAGATCTGGTGCAAAGAAGTGGCCAGGGTCAAAGGCAGGATGAGTCTGGGTCCTTGGAGGTGAACCGTCGGCCAGGAAACAGAGCAAGGGTAGAGCCTGCCGCAACAGTATTCGCTCAATTCTGGTTTTATTGGCTGCGGCGGCAGCCAGCCTTCAGCGCCATCCTCCCCAGCCCCAGGCGCATAAAGGCTCCATGCAGCGAGGTTGCGGGACGGATCGGGATGCCGATGTACTCTCATGATGCACTTTGGGTTTAGCTGCGGGCATGCTCAACTTGCAACGGGTCATATCGGGTCTGCTGGCGTTTGCAACAGCCCACTGCTCTCATTGATTCCCCAACGCAAGCTGCAACATAATTTATGAACACGCGCTCGAAGTATGGCGTGGAACTTGTGCCAAAGGCATGCTTCCACTACGTGACGAGATGGGCCAGCCCGCCGTCGCCGTTTGAACATCACGCCAGGTCCCGTGCGCATTCGGCCCAGGGCGGTCACCTCTTGTAGGAAAGATTCGGGTAGAATGCTGCTTTACATCTGCACGGCCAACAGCTCAAGCCAGCTCAGTTCTCGCAGTAAGATCCCGGCCAGGTGGCAGTCGGCCTGCTCTTTTCTGGTCAATCCGCCAGCCTCCAAAGCAGCCTCTGCACAACGCATCTTGTCTCCCGGTGAAGAGTGAATGGAATGTGCGCTGCTCCAGAGTGACACTATCCTTAGCCAGCTCTGCTCAAGTGTCCAGATCGCCAGGTCGCATCAGGTTACACGAGCAGGCGCTGTTACTTCAAGCATGCAAGAAGCTCGGGTTGATTTTGGCTGCCCTGCGATTCCACTGAGCCGGGCTTTGAATTTCAACGCAGGCTTGTGTTCACCAAAAGCGGTTACAAATGGTGTCACAGTGTCACACGCACACATCTTGTCGCAATTCTTGCGACAGACGGCAGCAGGCAATCTTCGGGTCGGACGGGCATCCTCCGGGCATCGAACACCTTACGTGGAGTCTGTACTTCTAGCTGCAGTGCCGAAATGGTCCGAGCAGAAGCCTGTCTAGTGTCACCTGAGTAACCACTTGTGCCATAACCGAGGCTGCGATTCGCAGCATGCGAATCCGAACTCCTACGATTTTGCTACGCTGTCTTGCGGCAAACAGAAACATTTGCCACTATGACTGGGAAGGGCCTGGCTGTCGGCCAGTGCCTCGCGAAGTCGTCCTAATTCCTTAGGCCGAGGCAGCGCAGCGAACAACACTTTAAGCTTACCGGTTCTTGTTGAAATCAGCCCAGCAGCCAAGCGGGCTCTGCTTCTTCGCCACAAGATTTTGGCCTTGCAATCTTGGCAAACGACGATTCTCCGGAAAGGCTTTCGCAGTTTCACAGGACCTACCTTGCCAGACTGCCAAGTTCGGCGCATGCGTTGGCTCTTGTGCAAGGAAGGTGTCGAAGTCAAGGGCCTCGTCTCCATGCTTGACGACGAGGCGGGCATGATTGGACAGGTGGCTGCCGTTTCAAAGAGACGGCTCTTGCCAAGTCGCTGCATTGAGTGCATCGCCTGACTGCAGCCGAGCCTCTCCTGCGAGACATTCGCGGAACTACGGCACAGCCATGGTCAGGACATTGTGATGCAAGGCGAACGCGCAGAGCAGTCCGCGCGAGGCGTAGGCCAAGGTGATGCGCCCGTCCAGCCTCAGAGCCAAGCAGGCGAAGCACAGCCACCGGTCACGGCATGTCGGGGCCATGTTTTCTGGGAAGCCAGCTCTAAGGCTGCGGTGGCATCTGCAATGGCCCCCTGGGCGCACACGGCGCACACGGGTCGCTGTGGCATCGTGTTGAACTGAACACTTCGCAGGACGCAGTTCGGGCCTCGAAATCACCGTGCTGAAGCTTGGCCTGAGAACGATGAAGCCATATCGTGGGCCAGCGAGATTCCACCTCCGCTGTCATGCACTCGTGGGCTTCAGAGGCGACTGTATGGCTACGAGACTTCAAGCGCACACGCGGGCCTCAATCGCTGTGTTCAAAGCTGCTAGTGCTCCTGTGCCGGCATCAGCACGACAAAAGAAGCCGTTGGAAGATGTGAACTCTTGCTGCCTCCCGTGTCACCTTTCTTGAGCTCGATCTCGGCGCAGGAAGTATCATGCAGGGTGACTGCGGGGATGAGGCTTTTTGCAAGCATGGAACGTCTCCCAAGTTTGAGAAGTCGAAAGCCCGGCATGGATCTTTGAACTCGCCCCGCAACAGCCGCACAGACATGCACTAGCTACCTGCCGAAGCTGTTCCAGGTCAAGCCGGTCATACTGCAAGCACACAAATCATATCAAATCATCGCAATGCCCCTGCCTCGGCGTCAGGAGGTCGATCGCCGGCCACATCTGCCCATCCCGGCCCCTTTCCCCTGTTAGGGGCAGCCGGGCAGCCCTCGACCCCAGAGGCAGAAAGGATATCACTCAAGAGCTGATCGATGCATCTGGACGGCAAATCATAGGACAAGTCGCTAACACCTTTGCAAGTCAAAATCCGCCATCCTGGCAAAGACCTTTTCGCGGCAGCACACTTTGAGCTGCGGAGGCCCCAGCATGGGTCGCTCACGAACAACTGACTAAGCTGCATGTTGAGCAGCTCACCTATCAGAACTTCCAGGAGTGATATGCACTGACTGCAGATCTAGCTATGCCACCAAGAAAACTTTCCCAGACCGATTCTAAGCTACTTGAAAGTGCTTGGACAACCCCGTCAACTTTGTATCCACTCGCAGCAGTGTGGCACTGATCCCCGGTTTCAAATCCATCCTCTTGACCTCGCCCAAGACTTCCATCTGCCCCATGTAGACTCCTGCAGCGAAGTGTGGAGTGGGTCCAACCCGAATCCAAGACTTTTGCCAAGGTGCTTGTTCGCGAGCAAGGTCTTCCTGCCAGTCTCCAACTCAGAGACACAAAGGATTTGTCTCGTCCATGTCGCTGTTCCATGATGCTGGAGCTCGATGCTACAGTGCTACAGTCGGCAAAGCTGCAAACCGGCCTTGCTCTCCCAGTCTGCGAGTTCCGCCAAGCGGAGCTGCAAGGCCTCAACGAGCCAACACAGGACCCCCGCGGGACCAGCTTAGACGTCTGCGACATCGCATGCTGGGTCAGCCATTGCGTCTCACATGTATGCTACTTGCAGGACTCGACCGTATCTCTCGTATCCGTCCGGCTACAGGGCTCTGGAAGGTAGCGCAGGGCACGACTGAGCCGCATGCTGGCTGCAAGCCTGCCTTGCGAAGATCGACAGAAGATCCAGTCATGCTCGTGAACCCTTGAAGCCGCACGCTCTGAGAAACTAATTGAATAGAGTGCCGTCGGACATCTGTCACCACCCGATGCATCAGAACCCCCAGATGCGACCGGCCCAGCTACATAGCAGCTGCTGCCAGCATATGGGACCTTGATGAAGGCTTTCAACCTCAGAGCAGCCGATGCAATCTCGGCTATTCACAGACAGCCGCAAGCAGCGTCGCCACGAGTCTACACATCTGCCTTGCTGGGCCGAACATCCGACTGAGGTGCTTTCCAGTGTGGCCAGCGCCGCCGCACCGGCAGATCCAGCTGAGCATCCTGGTGCCAGAGTTGATGCCGTACAGAAGCACGTGTCATCTTCATAATCTTCATGCCAAGGCAAGGCGATTCGTTCGCTGCCAAAGCAGAGCCCTGGGCCGGCCTCAAGCAAGCCTCGAGTGTCGCCTCTGTGCAAGCGGCGTTGGTCCATTGGCGTACCTGGCTTGGACCCAAAATTCGTGGCAGGGCTTCTCGACTCGCAGGTACATTGCATTATGAGACAACAGCACAATGAAAAGCATCCCGGGAGAAGCGCACCATGCAAAAGGACCAGGCCACCAGCCTGCCAGGTTGCGCTGCAAAATGTCTGCAATCCAGAGCCTGGACATGTCGTGTGTACCTGCTGGCGCTGCCCCCACCCAACTTTACCGAGATTGTGTTGTCGACTTCGCGACGAACACGCCTCTGAAGCACAACAGGCGCTCAACGTGATGTGCTGCCCGTGTGGAGAAGATCTTTGATTGCAGCATGCTCCCGCTGAAATTGCAAATTCTAATGTAGTTAATAGAAATTCAAACAAGATCGAGTCGCCCTTAAGGATAGCTGATTCAGAATCTGCAGTCATATTCAGCCCATGTGGCTGTAGCTTGGCCGACTTGCTTGTGACGTGACCTTCTGACTCTTGCTCCTCCTTCTTCAAGCTACTCCGAGTAGCAGAAGATGTGATGACTTAGAGCGGGCCTTAGGCGTGGAGGACATGAGGAGACGAAGACCGACATCAGAGTCTAAACAGTTCTGTGGCCAGCGGCACCCCAAGCCCCGCAGCTTGGCCAGTGCTTGTACTTGCATCCAAACCGAGTAACCCGAACTTATGTCTCAGCGGAATGTTCGAATGCCGCGGCTCGGCCGTGGTCCGAGACAGTGAGTTCAGCAGACATGATGGGAAATCATGACGGCTGCGCCACGGAATCGATGCTTCCCATTGCCTGGCCATTTCACAAGTAGACAGGTCAGAACTGCTTCCGCACTGCCCTGCCCCAGACTGCTGGTGCATGCTGCTGACAGCCCGGTTTTTAAAAGCATCAAGAAGGCAATCTGGCCTGCCAGAGCAGGCTTTTCTTTGTAGGTTGCTCCAGTTCAATCAGAACCTATCTGGTGAGACCATAAAAGAAGCTTCGGAAATAGTTCCTCTGCAGATGTCCCCCGCAGGACTTCCGCAAGCAGTCATCTCCAAGAACGACAACAGCATTCATTGGTAAGTGAGCAATTCTCTCTACAACGACACTGAGCACATTTTGCTCCAAGAATCTAGATGGACAGTTTGATGTCCAACGCTGAGCCATGCTTCCCGCAGGGACCTAGCTTCACACACACGAGCTTGGCCCTGCAGCTCATGACTTCCCAGCTTAGGATCAGGAGCAAACTCTTGCCGGATCCTTGGGACTGGTGCGGAAATTGGCACTATGGTGTCTAAATGTCTAAAGGATTCACAATACACGGCTGGATTCGGCTGCTTTCGTGACACTGTCAGGACTTTTGCCCTGCAATCTAAAAGTTGCAATGTGTGCAACAGACGTATTTCTGGTTCCAGGCATGTTTTGCCGTGTCCGCTGGCATCAACTCTTTCCCGGTTTAGCATTGCTGGAACCAGTATGACAAATGCACTCGCCCTCAGCCTCACCTCTGTGCGAGTTGCATTTAAAAACGTGGGAGCGGGCTTCTGCTCATTCTTCCTCCCCTGCGGCTGCAAGAATCCTGAAGCGACACAGGGCAACGACTGGCCACGGATCCGTACTGAACTAGCACAGCAGGGCTGCGTGCAATAGCACACTTACAGTCTTCTGATGTTCAGGCGAGGCGCTTTTGGAGCTTGTCCTTGCTAACGTAGCCTGTGCCTTTGCGCTCCTGCCACGGGAAGCCAGTCTTTGCCCTTTTTCGGTGAGAAAACGCGGCCAGCGCTCCTTGCACCGAGAATTCCGCCGAGCTGGCCCGGTGCCTGAAACTGCTTCCGCAGTCGACTGCAGCTCTTCCTCGTCGCCCTGCGAGGAAGCAGAGCTCGGCATTTTGGGAAGCAACTAGCTTGAAACATGGGCTTGTATAATGCTTGACGCGTCAGGCAAAAGTCTTACTACTTCGTCGGCAACCGACACCTCGTCCTCCACCTTGGACAGAATGTCCATCATCATGGCCTGGTCGCATTAGGACGGATTGTCCTATCTCGCGAGCCTGTGAGACATGATATGACGGACAAGGTGCTGAGAACTTTCTCTGACAAGAGTCAGGTACCAAATCAGAAAGCTTGCACAGGCCTTGGTGATGAAGCCTGTGCCCTTCCGCTCCTTGCTGTGACGGGGCTCCTCATTGTTCGAGTTGACCCTATCAAAGGCTTTCCTCGGCTCTGTGCAGAGGACACATGCCGCAAGGAAGGATGCAACAGCCAGGGAATGGCAACGGCACACTTTCGCATCCACTGCGCTTGATGCCTATCGTCTCATGCAGCACAGAAGCGTGGCTGTCGGCATGCCGCTACTGATCTTGGTATCATAGATCTACGAAAGTTCAGATGAGACTCTCCACAGCATCTGGCTTTATGAATTTGCCATCCTGCGACACGCCTGTATCCTCCTGAGATGCACGGACGGAAAAGCCATAATATGCGTAGAAAGCAAGCTTTGATTTCCTAGCCTGCAACATCCCAAGCGTCGGTGCTGGAGCCAAGTCTCCAAAAGGATGGTTTCGATCACATCCACGTTGATCATGACCTCACCGGTCTTGCCTTTGGATTTCGATGCTTGCCTGTCGAGCCTGTCCGCGAATTCCTCAGCAGTCACCTTGCAGTACACAGGGCCCTGCTGAAGGAAGCTGCCCCCCCCCCCCCCGCGGATGCACTGAAGTCACTCTTGCAAAAGGCAAGGCTGGCAAGTGGCATACATCTCCGAATCCGTTCCGTGGCCAGTGATATTGCACTGGCACAGACCCATGTCTGAACCCTCTGGTGGACTGACTGGGCACGAGCGGTGTGACCAGGTCGGCTTTCCGACGATTGAAGTCACGAGAAAAGACCTACTACCTTGGGTAGAGTCGTGGCTGCGGAACCTCAACTTTCTGCATGCCGCAGAGCTGACGGGCATATTGAACATGCTCCTGTTGCAGAAGGCTAGCGGCTATCATCACTTGACATGACTACCGCAGTCTCTCTTCTGTTTTTTTCATGGGCGCCTTAGCTGCCTGCAGGTCCGCCAGGAGCGTCGCAGCGCGGTTTATGGTCGCACAAGCCGTCTGAAGACAGGGACAAGCTCTCCAAAAGCTTCTCTGAGCGGCTCGAAGCTCGTCGAAACATGCCACAACCGTCTTGGCTCCCTGCCCAAATCTCAAAGAAAGGCAACTTTGGCCTTCAGTCATACAGCTTCGTTTGGGCTGGACATGCGCCAACCTAATTAACTCGGCAGCTTGGAACGTATGGGAACACGGATCGGCCGGGTGAGCTCTGATTTCTGGCGCTCCCGCAACAAAGACAAGCAAATAATGGGAGAAAGCAAACGCAAGGCACAGAGCGGAAGCAATGCAGGTGCTCCAGTCGCAGCAGCACGGAGCATGGAGTGCGCTGGCACTCCCACACACCGCCCCGATATGGGTTGGCCCACGTTGGCCCCGAGACCTTGAGCCTGCCGCTCGTAGTCGTCCACCGCACACACAGCTCGGGTTCCAGAACTTGAGGTTCAAAGCTTCACTCTGCTATCATTGCCATCCTGCAAACGATGGGGTCTCAGCCCCTGGCCTTCTCCTCTTGCGCAAAGACAAGGTTGGATGGCGCACTTTCGACACCGCTTTCAACATGCCCTGCGGTGCAGCAGACCCTTTTGGATTGACCGAAGGCACAGTCGGGTCTACGCTGCCACAGGGTGGGTCCACCCTCTTAGAGGCATGGCTCCTGCTCTGCTTTGGGAGATGTTTTTTGAAGCCGATCTAAGGAACTGCTAGATCTTGACGATTCGACACACAATTAGGACCGACATCTTCCAAAAGGACATTGCAGGCATGCCTGCCAAAAGAGAACTGCAACGGCAACCCAGCTACTCAAGGGGCTGCGAGAACAGTGGAGACGTACCGTAGTTTGAGTTGCAGGCAGACGAATTCAAGGATGTTTGGGAAACAACAGGCACTTCAAGACTTCGTGCACTTTCCCAGATGCTGCAGCGCTAGCACTTGGAGCAGTCACCAGGGATGCCTCGACGCGCTCGGGGCCGATGGAGTACACGCGCTTCAGATTGACACCTTGTTCACGATTTCAATGCAAGAGCACGAAACGGCGCCCAACACCGAGCCGGCCACGTGTGTCCTTTATTTTCTTGGTCAAGGATTTCTTCTTCGGCTGTCCAAAGACGTCCTGAGACACGAGGCTCGCCCTGACTCGCGCGTTGTCCAGGCTGGCTCCCCTGCACTCCTTGTTGAGTTTCGCGATATGCAGCAGGCGAAACAGCTGGAACTGCGCCACGTAGTCTGCAACGTCGCTACCAGCCTCCAATTTCTGATGCAACTGCTTGCTACAAGACCCACACAGAAGCAGCATCATGCCGGTATACCCTACGGCACTTCGTCTGAGGGCTTTCCTCATTGATGGAAGGCCTCCCGAACTGCTGCCATCGTGCCCCGATCCGCATAAGTGCCGACGACATTGACGCAGTCTCCCAAGACCTTACCGGCAGGCGCATGGCCATCGAAGCATATGAAGTCAGGTGGTCAACTGTCACAGGTGGTTCGGAGCAACCATCGTCACCAAGATCATGTGGCCAATGGAGTGGCAGCGCTTGTGTTTCGGGCGAGCAAACCCACTGCTTAAAAAGCTTGACGCCATCGAATAACTTTCGGCACATTCAAGTCAAGTGAGCAAGCCGTGGAACTGAAATGCCCAGATTGCGTTCTCCCCAGTGTCCACGAACACTCGTCGTGCGTATGTCGTATGTGTGTCTGTGTGCACGTCCCGTTTGCTCACCTTTTGTGCAGGTGGTGTGTGCAACTGATGCAGTTAATCGGGGTCCGCAGCTTCGGGTCTGAGCAGAATCCACATCATAAACTGCTTGCACTATACATCAATGCTTCTTTCAGGCCAAGGTGCACCCGGTAATAGCAAATACTGTGCAGCTTGTCTCGCCGGAATCTGGAGAGGTAGAGGCAGCTGATCATGCCTTGGCATTCCAGGATTCCGGCAGACTCCAACTCAGAGCTTCGAGCTGTCCAAGGCCGCTGCCGCGCTTGAATCTCGCTCAACCCTCGGTGGACTCGGCAAAGCTCCTGCGGAGTGGGAAACTCAGCAAAGGCTCGGAGGTCCAGAAGCAAGGACCTTGATGTGAGCCGGAAGCTGGCTGGGCTTCTTCTTGCGAGTCTTGGAGTGCGGGTGCCTGGTCGCATGTCCGACCCGTTTATGCCCAAGGAATCCCCATCGTCATCTGGTCTCGGGGTACGGTCGCTTGTGCCTCGGCTTCCTTGGCAGAGCCTTGCCCTTCACTGCTGCAAGAACTGCCCAGAGCTGTGGCAGAGGTGGGATTCGCATCCGGAGCAGTGCCACCTGCCAAAGCAAGCCGCCCTCTAGCCAAGCAACCCAGAGCTACCTGCTGGGAGCTGCGCTGAATCGACCACCCTTATCATGGGGCGTCCAAGGGAATCCCACACCTCGCGCTGACCACCCTTACGTGCCTTAGAGTCTTAAACCCTAAACGAAGAGAGGACATCGCTGTGCGTCTTGCACTCGATGGCCTGCGGCAGCACTTTGGCCGCAGAAGCTGTCTTATCACGGTTATGTACACTAGACAACTCCGTGCACCACAAGGCTCAATCGTCGTCGAAAACATCCGTCGCCGCCTCTGCGACATCCTCGAGGTCAGAGGACAGCCAGTCCTTGTCACGAGGATTCAGGACTGCACGAACAGCGCGTTTCTGAGGACATGTGCGGGCTGAAGGGCCGCTTCGGCGCGGGATCTATTGCTGCTTTGGCACGTCCTCTGCCTCATCGCTTGCGCCCACCTCCTGTCCATGCGGCACGTCACGGCAAGACTCAGAAGCAAACCGCGCATTGGCATCCTAGTGTCCTAGTGCGTTTTCTTTCCCCAGGCCTCATCAGACCTGCTCGCACTTGAGCTTGGGCTTGCCCCATCCGTTTGGATGGAAGGTCGTTGTTCGAACGTTTCTCCTTGCCACCAAATGGCACCTCCTCCGAGCATCTGTGACGCTGCAAAGCCTTGTGCCGCTGCACTCAGCTCTGCGAGTGCAGACGCCTCGTCGCCAGCGCCTTGGAATTCGGCGTGGTTCTCTTGAAAATTCAAGGCCTTAAACCGGCGCTGTCCCAATGCACCTCGTGCTTCATTCAGCATTGCGGCTCCCTGTGGAGCAGATGCCATGGAACTGAGGAAACCGGCAAGCAGTGCAGAAGATCCTTTCGAAGGGCTTAGATTGGCCTAGATCTGACAGGACCGTGCCAGCTTAGCTGCGTATGCCCACAAACAATCTTGACCTACGAGGGTGTCGGGCGACTTGCACAAGGCCAGCCGCAGCACTTCCGATTTGCAAGACCCGTTCAGTTGCAGCTGTTCGCCTACTATGTTTACCTTTTCGTTGCCATCTTGTTCCGATTCTTTCTAGCTTTATTTCACATGTGTTTTACCTTTGTTTTTCCCTTGTTACCTTACACTTTCACCTTTATTTATTGTACCTTATCTGCCTTCACTTTGCCTTTGTTTCATTCAAACTGACATCTGCTACTGTCTCCGTGGATCGGACCTCCTGACTCAAGGCCTTATCGCAAGAGCTACTGCGCCATGTTCGACGGACACATCCAACAAGTTGCAGCAGCAAGGCACTGTATGATTGAAAGAGCATGCAACAGAACTGCGACAGATACTCAGGTATTCTGCAGCGATTGCGTGGGGACTTCGGTCCTGATGCGATGCCAGGGCTGCCATCCATTGCCCCGGTGGAATGGCCGCGAGCGCTGGTCTGGGCAGGCAGCGAGATCGTCGTCAAGGAGAACGGCTGACTGAGCCAGCGAGGGTTTGACATTGCTTGGACTTGCTGGCTCTCTTGCACAACCAAAGCACCTCAGCTCAATGAGGAGGGATGTTGCCAGCTGCGGCACCTGCTCAAAGTCCTCCTCATCAAGGCGAGCCCGAATCCTCAGCTCGGTGCTTAAAAACGACCCGACCCTGAAAGCCAACTTCACAGAGAGCCCAAGTCGCTGTTCGAGCAGAGTCAAGTATGTGAAGGAAGCCGCTGATTGGTCCTGCAAAACACGGCTGATGCACCAAAACAGGCAGAGTCCGGCCAGCTCCTGCAGCGATTCGATAAAGACAGATGTCAATGCACCCCCAGCGGACCCCGTTGAGGAACGTCTGCGTCCAATCAGCGTCGACCCGCGCCGGGACTGGACGTGGAACTGCGCTTGGACGTTACCCACGTCTGCACTCGTCTGATCAGAACGGCAGCCGGTGATTGCCACAACCTCGCCCACAGCGAGACCGACATTTCCAGCTTCGTCGGTAGAGAACCCAGCTTCGTTCGTGCCCTTTGTGGCTTGGTGTTCCTTCCAAAGGCCCCACAGCCCCAGGCCCATGCTAGCGGCATCTTCCAGAAGTCCGAGTGGGTTTCCTGAGCGCATAGACTGCAAATCCCGCAGCCAATCCTTGGAGAGGGCCAGAGACACGGCTTTGCCAGCCAAAGCTTGCTTCAGGTTGGCTTCAGTGCCGGTGAAGAGGTAAGGCAAGTTGAGCACCTCGGCATCTCGTGCTCACGGCATTGGCAAATATTCACGGCATGAAAGCCGCTCAGTGCAGTCAAGGCCACACCACCACTGTGGCAGCAGTCCATGAGGCAGGTAAGACGACAACCACTTGGCAAGGGCCGCACCAGCGTCTCGAAGAGTTCTGTGTCCAGCAGCATGCCCTCTTCGTCATAGTCCTCTCATTTGACTTCGTGCGTCTAGGTGCTGTGTACTACCGCGGCAAGCTCTGACATCGCACTTCTTCAGCGATCGGATCGTCCCGCCTCCGGGCAAAGAGTCTCCACATATCCGTCTGCGCCTGAGGCAGAGGGCTCGCGGCCTCCATGCCCGGAGTAGTGGAAGAACAACGCGTCTCCTGACTTTGTACTGATTATTCACACATGGGACCTGGGAACGGTGCTGCGACAGCAGGTGGGTGAGAAGGGGCTGGACTGGAGACCATCTGAGCTTCCGTAGACTTATATAATTACATAATATATAGAACGCACGACACGCACCCGGCAAGTGTAACAGATGCTGAATGCGAAACTTGCTGGCAGGTTTGACTGCGAAACGCCCCTGAGCCGACCATAGGCACCTGGTCCATGCGACTTGGACACGCAATTAACTTGATCTCTCAAATCTACCGGTAGACTTCGCATGCTGTATCAGGCTCCACTCTAGCTGATACCTTGGCTCCTGCCGCCATGTGCGTGGTCCACCAGTACGGGCGATAACTTAACTATGCTCACAGAACCGAAAGTCTGATCGAAATTGCCCACTGTTAGGGCAGATAGACACCTCAGTGCGCAAAACAGAAACCCAGCCGATGATCTCTGTGGCGGCCGGAACCCAAGCCGATCCCATCCCTGGGCTTCTCGCTTCTCAGTCCTTATCCCCGGACCCCGCTTTCCAAGTGTCCCAGCTCCAAACCCTGACCAATTGCAAAACCAAGCCGTGTGTCTCAAACACATCAGCTTGCAGTGAAGGCTGGGAGTCCAACTGTCCTGTCCGAACATCATGCACGAGCCATCGGATTGCTTGTCGCATGTTGGCTAAAGTCGGACGCCGGTAGTGAGGCCAACCAGGTGCATCGAGCAACACCATCTGGCACTGCTGGTCACAGGGAAAGCCTAATTGCTCCAGAAACGGCTGCATTCTCTTGACATCTGCAATGCATCCAGACAGCTCGGCCTCTGTGCCAAAATAGTTTATACCAACGAGTAGGCTCTTCCGCTTACCCGGTAGTTGAACTTGCGCTTGTGACAAGGTTTGCGGCACAGACCGGCTGGAGACAGCCATTCCAGTGACTGGAATGCTTTCGGCATGAGGTGTGCATGGAAAGCCGTTCTGGCACACAGGCGACATCTCCACCGGCGTGGCACAGGCCATCACTGGTGCAGCCGATGCACAGGGTACGGGTGTCGCAACCGCAACTCCGGTAGCCAACTGGCCTGGGCCCGCATATGGCGTATATCCTTTCAGTGGCTGTGGCGTCGGTGGGGCAGGTTGAGCTGCCAAAGATCGCATCTCAACACGCTGCTCCGGATCGCATGCCCGGCGTAGAAAGCAACAGATCTGTGACCCGACAGACCCCATGATGGATGTCTAGATCGAGGAGGGAAACGCCACTCCATCGACCCGAACCTGTGCAGACAGCTGCGGCGCAAAGCACAGTCTACAAAACCTAAGTCTCCGTCTGAACTCTGTTGCCCAAGAACTGCAGATGCTCGCTACTCCAGTGGGGCAACGACTCACTACTTTCCCTTTGTCAACACCGCTAACACAACGACTCATTACCTTCTTTTTGTCAACACCCTTAGGGGGATTCAGTGGGACGGAGGCATTGGTTTCCTGCACTGTTCATCTTCTATTCCTACCTGGGATCCACGAGTACCAAAATGACGCCTGGAAGAGTGTTCTTCAAGATTCAACCTGGCAGCGCATGAGGATTGACGACCTATAGCATGCTTCACAAAGACCTCCCCTAAGGACGAAGGATAGTTGACAAACCCCAAACCGAAACCTGAAAAGAGATTTGTTCAAAAGGGAGCGACGAATAGTTGACAGCAAGAAAAGCCTGCACGTGCAAAGTAACACGGTGATTCACGGGCAATTACCGAGTTCTCCAAGATCAGAGGCCTCCCGCAGCAGCAGAGCCAGGAGCTGAGGTTGGCTGGCTTTGTCCATCAGCGCGCCTTCTATCCGTCACGCTCCAGGGCATGCCACGGCCCTGTCTCTCCCTCACTCACAGTGGGTCTGCCCGGTTCTGAGACGCAAACGGCTGACAAATACAGCCCACTGGCGCCGTGGAGGCAGCAGGGGGAGCGTCTGAAGTCCCACCTGTGACGCACTACCCGACTTAGCTGGTTTGGCACGCTCTCCCGTTCTTGGATTTTGAGTGTCGTCGAGCCCGGCCCGATCGGAATCCACGACCAGCATCTCTGGGCATGGAAACTGCACCTGCAACGTTGTAGCACATGCCCTCCTGTCCACACTCTTCGGCACTTTGCAGACTGAAACTCCACCCTTTGTGGCCTCAAGCAGCTGACCTCAGTGATGTCGCAACAGGCTCGCGGCTAGGAGGCAGGCAGTCTTCAACTTCAGTCATATTTCCTTGTTGAGTCCGTAAGGGTCGGACATGCCTGCGCAATTGTGGTGTTCGGAGCACTGCGGGCATGGCGCATTAAGGTGGCCGACATTGGAAGCAGCAGGGCCGCCTGGCGCGAGGAAATGACCGCCTGTGCGCAACCCACACGAAAGGCTTCGATCTCTTTTTATCCTTGCCATGTCTGTAAACGGGCAAGCGCAGGCAAAGCAAAGCCATAGTTGATCACAAACATGGCAGGTGCTGCCGAAGTACCCTGCAACGACATCCGGGCCTGAACTAGTAATGTCTGGTAACTACACCCATGCCGCATGTACCAATGCATATGAATCATATGAAGCATCGTTGGTCCATCAAAGCGGTAGTCGAGTCCAGGAAACCAAGGCACCAACTGGCAATGCCACCACGGCTGCCCCCCGTAATAGCTCCGATCCGACCACCTTTCCCGAAACTTTGTCCAGTCTTAGTCTTCCGGTGCATCAAGGTGCATATCGATGCCTTCATCCACACGGCGATGCTTTCAGGTGTTACCGGCTCCTGAAATCAAGTTCGGCATCCGAGATCAGAGGACTGTTCCATCTACTCACGGACACTCCTTGGTGAGGTCTTGGGTTGCGCTGGAGATCTCCTCCTGCGCGTCCTGGAGGTGGACTTTGGCAGCCTCCTGAAGAAGAAGGTTGGAAAAGCGGCGACGTGACATCAGACTCGCCAGACTCACTTAGGTTGCAGCCAGTGTCCAGGCCCTTACATGTTCAAGGGCAAGTGGCGCCGCAACCTCGATTTGCAAGGGTCGCTTCGCGGAGTGATGAACACGCTGAGGCCGGCTGTTGAAGGGTCTTGGGCCCGCGCTACCAATGCCAGGCTGGCGAAGGAAAGCGTTGCCGCTTTGCCTCTTCGGCCCATGGCTGCGGTGGGCTGTTGATTGTAGTAGACGGGCTCTTTGCCAGTTCCTGCCTTCAGACACCACTTTGGTCGTGCGCTGCAAACACAGAACTGGCAGTGTTACGGCACCACTAGTTAGGCTCGGCATGCTCTCGTGGCCCACTCTTACTGCTTACTGGCTATTACAATTGTTACATCAGCTGCAGTATACAGCACCACTCGGTCAGACATGCCTATCTTCAGCGGCGCAACAGGCACCAAATCAGAAAGCAGTAACTAGTCACTATACTCTTTCCATCTGCAAAATCCAAAATCCAAGTGCCGACTCCTTCGGAGTGTTGGCTTCATCGACTAAATAATCAGGTCCAGGAACTGTGAGCTCCCGGTCTGGTTTGTGGCTCGGGGCTCGAGCCCAAAATTTGGTCTCCACACGCGGGTGAAGCACCCGGTCGAAGAATAAATGTTGTGGCACTGGTCAGTGCCAAGTCTCCGAGTGGAGAGGGTGAGACATCGGGTCACACTACACGGCACGATTTACTTCAACACTTTTTTCTCAAATGGGCTAAAAGACTTTTTAAGAACTGGTGAAGTGCCACGAAGTGCCGATTCACATCTACGAAGCTTTCCCACATTCATGTGATGAGAGACTTGCGATTCTTGGCGGCCTCATCTCGGTCCTCCTTAGTAGTTTTGAGGCCGGTGTCCTCCTGTGCCCCTTTGAAACTGCAATTACGGAGCCTCGTAGTCGCTGAGAGAGCCCGTGCGAATATACTCTTCCTGCCGGACCGGTCAGCTGAAAACACCGGCTGCAGCAGCTACGAGTATCGTGCATTCGCCGACTATCTTGTGCCCTATGATCCAGTCCAGCTTCTTCTTGATGGTATCAAGGCGTCCGGAAGACCACGAGCATTTGCGCTCCTGGATAGAACATGTCACTCCGGCTTGGCACATGCCGGCGGACGGTTTCAATGCAAACACCAACAACCAGCATTCTCATGCGGGGCCTTGGATGACACACGCGGCTTCTTCTTGTCAGTGTCGGGCTTCTCTGTCATTGTCTCCTTGAGCAGCTGAACCTCCAAACGGATCGATCTGCCGGGTAGAATGAGCTCAGCAGCAACTAAGAACTAAGCATGACAAGTTCAACCGTCAGCATGGCACGCAAGTTCGAAGATCTTTGCGTGCCCGCAAGGAATCCTGAAGTGCCTCGACATGTTGCGTCTCAAGAGCGCTTGGGCTTGGTTTCAGAACCTCAGGCGCGGTCCTGCTGGATCCGTTTGCCATGCGTGTCCACCCTTTCCAAGGTTTCCCTCCGGTTTCTCCAGAGAGTCTCTCTGTCGATATCAGGTTGGACATGCCTGACCTTGGGGTCCCGGAAGCGCATCGAAGTTCAAAAGAGCAGAGTATGGTGCGACCTGGGCTCCTGCTGTGAGTTTCAAGCCGTTCCTGGACCTGTGAACCTCGAGCGACTCTGCAGACGACTGACGACTCTCTAAGACTCTAAGGCGATCCATGTCGATCAGACTATACTGGGGAAGCTGCGCCCTGTTGTATCATCAGGCGCAAGCGATCCTTGTCTACACTTAGCTCCTCGTCCAGGTCCCGGATTGATCTCCTTGGTTGCAACTTCTCAACTACCCAGTCTGGAGTGTGCGAATCCGAAGTCTGCGCACTTGTCCGTTCAAGCTTCGCCGTTGCTTCAGCTCCCCTCCAAGACGAAGTTTGCGGTGCAGCATCGAAAACTTGGTCCTCGGTTTGCTACTCATGGATGCTGCCGATCAACTCAACGAAAAAACATGCGGCCAATGAGACGGGATTCAATCAACCGACTTACAGTAGCACTTGCACTCTTCAGAAGAGTCCATATGCGAGACAAATGATGACACTTCGAATTTCTTGAAGCTCTGCATGCGATCCATGGCGCTGTCTTTCGACACCATTTTCCTTACACCAAACGCTCGGTATTTCGGCCGTGTCCAAACTCAGAACAGCGGAAAGATGTATGCGACAGGCCAGAGCACGTCGTGTCTATTCAGCAGCGTGTCTCCACTGCTGGACTGTATCTAGCATGTTCTCCGGTCGAAGGGTGGCGGCGAGGCGTGCGGCCTTGGACTAACCAGACACAGTTGGCTTTGACTTCAAATGAAATAAATGCCGGTGGAGCCCGCCTGCTTTGCCTTTGACCATCCTTTGTTCATGGAGTGCGTGCCGGTACCAAAGTCGTCCAGCTCGCTGGACGACCTGACATGGTTCATTCCCGGCACCGCGTCAACGAGAGCGTGGCTGCCACCCTGAGCTGCGTCTCGACGATTTAGCACCTGGCCAGGCCCGCTTGCCAAGCCGTCAGGCACTTTCCCGGAAACGCTCCGCAGCCTGCGTCAGCGTCGGGCGAGGGTGGAGATGCCTCCTGGCCCTCGCTTTGCCTGAGACTTCCGGACTGCTTTCTGCAGCAATGTGTGGAGCTATTGAAGTTTAGGAGCTCCGGAGCGGGCAAGTCATCTCCTTGTGGGTCGACTTCTTGCGGCGCAGCTGCGATCGGGCGCAGCTAAACGACTTCAATTCAAACATAAGCCAACCGAATGGGGCACCAGCAAACATCCTGCATCCCAAGCTCATGCAGACGAACCAGCGCCTTCTTGGTCGGCGTCCCGCGGTTCAAAGATCAAGTGGCTATCCATTCTGCGAGGCAGGATGGCTGTAAGTTGGAGCCCGAAGACAAGATCAACACTGCGCAGTCATCGTCAACATTTATCTCCTTAGGCTGCGACCTCTTGAAGGTTTTGGTTCCCTGCAGGCAAGCAAGCAACCAGCCACAATCTGCCCATCCCCTAATTCTCTTCCTTCAAACGAGTGTGGGGGGACCCCTATGGAGGGGCACTTGCTTGCTTCGGTCCGGTCGGCGTGCGACAAAGCGTGGGATTCGACCGCTCCACAACTCAACTGCTGCGCCTGTCCCCGCATGTCTCGAAACTCTCCCCCTCTTTCCTTTCTGTGCTCTCACGATCGGGTAACATGCTGTTACCCCGTCAGCGTCGTTCGAAGTGCATGCATCGTGTTCATGATTGATGCGTGCACGCAATATTCGCCGCACTTGCGGCTCTCAACCCTGACGAGTTCCCGAGAGGGACGAAAAATTGGCTGAGAGTAGTGAGTGTTGTGGCAGTACCCAACCATGTGTCCGTCATCACATCAATCTTTTGGCACCTTCTTGGACAGGCCGCGCTTCCAGGGTGCGACGAGTATGCTGTCTTTCTGCCTCAGCTTCAACTCCACGGAAACTCTCAATGACATGTCCTTGGGCCCGAAAGGAAAAAAAAACAAGGCACGGCTGCTCGAGCTCCTCAGCTTCGGCCTCTTGATCCTGTGGCGGGGACTCTGTCTCACTCCAGGCTCAAAGCTGCCTAGATCTCCCTGGAGGGGCGCAAGGCGCATACCGCGGCCTCTGATGCATCTTTGGTCTCCAGCCCTGCCCAGCAAGTGCATCAAAATGATGACGAAGCGACAAACAACAAGAAAAGAAGCAGCGGGGAACGACAACAATCAATTTCGGGACAGAAACGAGCAAGTCTGTCAACTATGGCAATCATCACTTCCATCGCCATGGTCGTCATCTTGACGAGAATACACTACATACCCTGACCCACGGAGCTGAGCCTGAGCCGGAAACGGCAATGTCTGCATCTGCAGGGAGTTCTGTGTTGCCTCGGCCTGACGGATGCTCCAAGGGGTGGCCGTGTTTCCGGGTCAACAACCCCTGTACCCGTGCACCATGGCTTGAAGACTACAACACTGCGATGAGCAGCTTGATTCTCCCGCTGTGCCTGGAAAATCTTGGGTTTCTGCATTTTCTGGAGGCGTTGGAGGCTGCGCAGCCTGACAGGAAGGGAACTCGCAACCCGTGTGCCCCAACTGCGGACAGGCATTTAATCTCGCTCTGTCTCAACACGTCCGGCCTCCTCTTGCAATATCCGGCTTCCTGCCTCCTTTTCCAAACTTTCTGAGTCCAGCTTCAGTTTGGGAAGGATGGGGGTGCTGCTGCCTCGTCAGTTGCCGTGTTTGGTAGCTTCAGAACTTGAACATGCTTGGAGGGGAAATAACTAGGCCAAGGCACTTTTCACGGGCGGCTCCTTCGCCGAAGGCCGAAGCCGAGCCTGCGAGGCTGCCTTTCTTGGCTTAGATCCTGGGATATTTCCGTGCCGTGCTTTGCCGATTTGCAATGCACGTCTCGAATCGAGTTCCTGACCCTGGGCGTGAGCACGCGATTGCCCCGTCTGTCCTTCCTTCTTCTTTCTCGCTTCGGTCTTGTTTACGATTCTGGCGACACCTGAAGATCAAGCCGAGGCTGTGACAGCGTCGCTGTGGTATGGTTGCCATGCTACTGTCGTTTCGATTGTCGTTTCTTGTGAGGCTTCGGCTGCTCCAGCTCGTTGAAAGTACCTCGGCCGGTCGCGGATCTGATTAAAAAAAGGTCGGACTGTCGCACCATTTTCGGCCAGGCCGCATGAGGCTGTGTAAGCCCGAGCTTGTGCTTCTGACGTCCTGTCAGGAAGAGGTGTCACATTGCTTGAGGGGTCCCCTTCTTTGGAGCTCCACCTTGTGGTTGCGGTGCTGGAGCGCCACCGCTTGCATCAGCACCTCGTTCGCACCAGGAGCATGCTGAAAAGTTCTCGTTTGCAACGCAGCCTCTCAGGGCCTTTAGCGTCTGCTGCGAGCGGCCCAAATGGAATTGGCGGCAAGTAGGTGGTGCTCGAGACCATGACCTGGCTTGAGCATTCCGAGATCCATGAGTGAAGCCCAGCGCGGGAGCCCGGAAAGCAGACCAAAGAACTTAGCAAAAAATGTTGGGTCTTGCTGCGAACCGGGCTCCCGGCGAGCTTCTGTTGCACCACGAGCCCCTATGGTTCGAGCCCAGAGGACAAGTGGGCACTCCCCCTCATGCACACGGCACCCGGCACCATGAAATCCATGGCGGGACTCGGCAGATCTCGGCAGCATGTCTTTTTGCGACTTGGGCGATCACCTCCTGTGCTCTTGCACTCTTGTGGCAGAGACGATGGGGGGCAAAAGCTTGTCGCTAACATCGCAAAGACGAAGCCCTAAGTACCTGCAGTGTCTGCTCCATGTTTCCACTTCAAGCCTGCATCCGAGACAGCTAGTGCCCATCTATAAAAATCCTCGTTGGCAGTGGGTTGAAAGCTGGATGCATGCCTCCGAACCAGTCATCCATCCATCTCTGTACGAGGCCGTCGCAGGTGGGTCGACCTCTCAGCTTTGCTGGCCTTTATGTCATGCTCCGCAAACTGTGTGATTAGGCCTGACCTATCGCTACCTCCCTTCTGCTTAGGGTCTGAGCCCTGCTCCGGAGAGCAGAAAACCTGAAAGCTGTTTCAAAATATGTGCCGACTGGCACAAACAAGAGATGCTTTGCATGCGCTTGTTGCACAAAGGGCCATGCCAAACGAGGCTACGCCGATCCGACTTTTGAACTGGATTATCGTCGAGGCTATCTGCTGGCAGCCTTGAGTGGCTAGGTCCTTCCAATTATACGAGTTCGCAATTCGCATGTGCAGGTGTGGTTCGCCTGCACCAAAAGCAACCTACTGCGTCCATCTGCACCATTCGGCCGTTGCTGACATTTGCTCGTGCCGTGTTGTGCGACAGCTTCGGAAGCTGAAGTCAGAAACTTTCGTCCTTGATGGGACATCAGCTTCCGACATGGGCCAAGGCAGCTACTGCCGGACCTTCTTCTTTGCATGATGCCGGCAAGGCTGCCAGACCCACTTGAATTCCAACCAGCTCCTGGCAGTTTGCTGCAAGACCCCAGCCCCAAGCACTTGGCAGTGCATGTCAAGCACTTCACGTAAACTGGGAGCTCGACGGTGAGCTGGAGTGTCAGCGAGACCGACCTCCCTCTATCTTGTCCACGGCGAGTAAGCTGCGGCACGGGGCGCACTTGATCGACGGCCCGTGGTGCACCAATAGTAATACGCTATGAGATGTTTCATTCTCGCCCTTACAAGAACACAAGCTGGTGGCCTGCACAGAACTAAGCCAGCATCCGCATGAGGAGCAACCCGCACCTGGAATAATGGTCTCATCCAAGCCGCATGATGTCTCCATCGTGCATCTATCCAAATCTATCCCTCGTTGTCTGAAGCGCCTGGTAGTGAGAGCCGCCATCGAAGGCAATGACACAACGCTCACTGAGAGCCACGAGCTGTCCAGACCTCAACGGGGATGAAGCGGATGTCACCACTGCCCCTCCCTCACAAAGAGGCTGCAGCGCCACCAGTCCTGGGAACCTCACGCATTGATCACCTTGACGGCTTTATCCCGGAAGTTGCCTGCGAAGCGAAAGCAGGAGCCCGGAGCCTTGAGCTGTGCCATACTCGGCCGTTTTCTTCTTCCCCGTCCTTGCAGCCGGAGCAGCCGCTGCTTGCGCTGATCACGAAGCACATACTCTCGGCCTCAGGCAGAGGCAGGGCACTTCCAATCGCATCTCTCCCAAGCCCCTGCCAGCCCTCAGCACCAGGCTTCCATCCCTTTCCATGGTACAAAACACCTCGCCAAAGGATCTCGGTTAGTGTTTCCATAGGGAGACTTGTCACACTACGCTGCCAGCACCGCCAACTACCTCTCCAGGCAAGGATTCGATTCGTCTAGACAAGAAATTCAGAGACACGTCGTCATCTGCGCTTGCCTAGGTGTGAGTTGCAAGGTCTTGCTGCTCGAATCTACCAGGCTCGGAGATGCATTTCCGTGTACTCACGGGCACGTCTCTCCTCGGCAATCCCATGCCTCAACACCGAGCTACCCTGCAAGTCGCATTCCATACCTCCAAATACGTCAATCGTGAAAGAAAGTGTGACACCACCAGATGTAGGCATAATTTGCTTCATCCGGTCTCCTTCTTTCACAGGGTGCCAACATAGTGACTCATGTATGCCTTCACTGCCTAATCCTAGACGGCTGAATATGTAAAGCTGTCTCCTCGATGCAGCGTTGTGCCACCGGCTGTGGTCGCGACGGACTACGTGGCCCTTGATACCGGCAGAGACTCTGCTGGACACCCCACATCACGCCGCCCGTCGCTGTGGAAAGGTTGCCTTGTGTGGTGAGACCTCATACTAGCCCGCAGGCTTTGCGCCCTGCAAAGCTGTTTCTGGGGCTCAGGTCACGGATTGGTTTCGACCTACAGCGGTTGCAGTGCAGGCTTGGGACGCCATCCGGACAATACGTTTGCCCTTCCAGGTTCGTTCTCGCATGTTGTCGCACTTTCTCGCTGCAATGGCCCTGTTGTCTCTCACCACATCCATTCCTCCAATATAGGTCGCAGTCAAGCAGGCTCTGTTCTTGCGTTTTCGGTTCCTTCTTCGAGGCTTCTCGGAAACAACAGCCACGGCAGTGCAACTGCGAAGCAGTACCAAGAACATACAATAACCATCAGTAGCCGCCATGGCCTCTCCAGAAGGCAGCAAGATCTCAGGAAGTCGACGAGCCCTCTCGAAGAGCATGTCTGTACCTTGGCGCAATGGTGCCCGCCTAACTGTCTAATTTGCGCGGGTGTCGGTCTGCGGTCGTGGCGAACCGAAGCCAGCGGCTCCCTGTCCAACATCTGGAGAAAAATGCCGCACTGCGGCCTGGGAGTTTCGCACCCGAGAAAACCGCAGCAGACAGCCTCAAGCCTCACGCCCTTGGGCTGCACGCCCGGAACCAGACTCGTTCACGATGATGTGGCCTTGGAGCAGCGGCTTCAGTGCGGCTAGCACACCTTGGGGACCTGGCCCCAACTGTCCGAGGCCAGCACTGAGCGGAGATCCCTCCAAGTCCACCACGCTGAAGGAAAGCCTTGGGGGGCTGCGGCTGCCACATACGAGTACCAACTCTGCACAGAAGGCTCCTGAGTCCGGCGGCTCCTGCCTTTCGTCCGTGAGGACCTGACTTCCCCCTAATCACTTCCTCTGACAAAGACTTTGGGGGAGCGGCCTCTCGCACTGCAAAGACGAACTCCATCCCGTCGGGGACGACCTGCCACAGACTCCGGCACACTCTTTCGAAGGCGGATCAACGGCCTGAGGAGCGAGCAAGGCATGGACACAGAGTGTCCTCCTCGTCGGAGGATCGCGGCGACCAGCTAAACATGGCTCCAGCCTCACCTGTCGCACAGTTTCAAGAAATGGAAATCGCTTTCTCCGGGCCCGCGGCCTCCGACGTGGCTTGGCCGTTTCGGCGGTGGCAAGGATGTGGCCGAGGCCGCACGTACTGAAACAGAACCTCGAGCTTGGTTCAAGATGACGGGCCTGTTGCTTTCGGCTGCCATCGGGCGGTAGCAATGGCCGCCCGTAACGAAACCAATATACTGGGCACTTTGCTGTATGGCTGTGCCGCCCCAGGAGGAGGATACGGCCTGGGAGCACGGGAATGCGATGCGCCAAAGCTTGAGTAAAGCTGCTTTCAGCTCGTGTGTCGCATTAGCAGGGCCCGAGCCCTTCGATTCGGACACCTGGCCACGGCCCGTTATCTTCACAGGGATCCCCCAGCGACTGCACAGCATGCCTGGGTCGGGTCCTGTACGCGCCGGCGCTGCCCGGCCCCCCACCTCAAAAGCAGGACACTCTACCCTGGATGGTGTTCAGACATGCTGAGACTCCTTGTTGCGGCTGCACCGCCAGTGTTTCCCCTTCTTGCCCTTCCGAACAAGCCAGGGAGAGGGTTCTTGAGAATGCGGCCGAGGCCAGCTGTTCGGCTGTCGGCGCCTTAATTCCAAAACATCTGCACCATGTGCACAGTGTCCGAAAACCTTACGATGAGCCAGCCTGGTACAATGCTCATGCTTGTTCGAATGCTCGGTGAAATCACCGCCGCCGAGTTCTTGGCGGGGCAGCGCGTCACTGGTCGCTTCGTTTCCTCCACCTTTGGACGTGGGACTGGCCTGAGTCACCGAGCTCGGGCAATGCAGCACTACCTACACTTCATCCTGTGCAGCATCCTGCACACCAGGACACTTCACTTCGGAGTTCAATAAACAGTGTACAGCTGAGGACAGCTCGCGGCGCTGCAAAAAGCCTGAAAGCACGATCAAAAGTACCGGGCAACTAGAGAGCGAGTACAAGTGTAGTGATTCCACGCAGTGGAGCAGCTCACCCGACTTTACAAAACACAATGTAAGATGGCGCAACATGCGAAGCAACGTGGAGAGTATGGAATCCTGAATGGAACCCGGAAGTTTTTCCAGTTGGCGCATTTTGGCTGCACGGGGACCCTCACAGCACTGAAAGGAAAGAACCTAGGAAAACAACAATGAGACAATGAGATGTTGCATACATGAAGTGCTGTGCAGGACGTCTTCCGTTGGTTTTGGAATTCTCGAACCGTCCAAGAGTTGTGCCATCGCCAACGTCAGCGCGATGATCGTAGTCAGCAGGCCTGGGGCTTCAACAGCTAGCATTGGACGTGCTGAGCGTGCAGTCGCAGCATGATCTATCGTCATCCGAGGAGGAGGCCCAGAATCAAAATGGCAGGATCCGGCGCGCCTGGGAAACAGATTGCGATTGCATGGTGGAACAGATCCCCCGCCCTTTCGATGAGCTGCGGCCAGGCCCCGGGCTCTTTCGGGAAATCAAGCCCACATGCGTCTGTAAGAGGTTCCATGAGTGTTTCAGATGTCGCCACAGCCGAAGGTGTGCTCCGACGGGCACTGGTGCCTGCATCGAAGAATCAAAGGTGCCTCTACTGGTAGAAGCCGACGATTAAGTGTCCTCGTCCAGTACGACGTCCTTGGACTCGGGAACCGGCTCCTGTCACAAGTGGCACCAGCACGATGCTGGTGGAAGGAAATGGTTTCGGCCTTCTCCGAGATCTGCTCCAAGGATTGCATTTTCGGAATCGGAGCCTCCGACCCACTTGCTTCAGTCTGCCCCCCAAGGACTCACTCAATCCGGCCCCGCAACTACCTCTCTGGTTGCAGCTACAGGTACTCACAGGTACGAAACATGCAGGTCTGTCCTCTGTCATTCTCTACTTCTCACTATCTCTCGTAGCTCCAATGCATGGTTGGCGGCCGGATGCCTGCTTTCGCAATGAATCAAGTCTCTTAGATTCAGGAATTTGGATCTTTTGAGATGCGGCGCCGTTGCAGCAAGCCCTCTTTAACTATGGAAGCCGTCGCCTTCGGAAGTACCTTCCGACGAACAAGTGCCGTTTTCGATCTCCAGCATGCGCACTTTGTCCTACGTCCTATGTGCACCGCGTGTACCTCCAAGACTCTAAGATCCCGAAGATGCCGGAATGCGGAGATATCTGTCGAGGAATGGACCTCTGAAGGCTCCTGCCAGTATTCTGGAACAATACTTACTTTTATGTCCCAAACCATCCGTCGGACCTTCGAGAGTTGCGAAGATGGCTCGGACAATCCATTCAGAGATCCTGGAAGGACTGTCCTAGGAAAACCAGTCAGTCCATTCTCCCAGTTGCTGAAACGGGCTGGAGGTGGGCACTTCGGATCTCCGGCACCACCACTCTCCGCACTCCCAGTTGCCATCAGTCTTTGTGATGCCAATGTCTTTGCTGGGCATGCAAAATTCGTAATCTTCGAAACTAACATGTGTCGCTCTGGGCGACTGTAGCAGGATAAGCTCCTGCACGGGGTGCTGTGATTTGTGCTCCACCAACCCAAGAACGCTCGCTCGTCGCTCACGCAGACACTGCAGGAAGCGTTGAAACCAGGGCGGGGTGTCGGAACTCTGCGCCCACTGCAGCGAGACAAACCAAAGCTGCCAATCCAATCGCGGCATGTGCATGAAAAGGACGGGCGGGGGACGACTTAGAGGGCCAGGCTTATGCGGGAAGACCAGTTCCACCCAATAAGTATTGCCGTCCGCCTTGGTCGCCAGCCCGTCTCTGATGGCCAGTTGACCCAAATCTTGGGGCAGCTGGTGAAGTTCTCGTATCACCACTTCATCTCTGGTGGTCGTCATCCTTGCGAACAGGCCGTATCGGCAAGCGAGCTGGGCGGACGACAGAAACTCCTCGGCTTGTCGAAAGAGCTCCGGGGGCCGCACACGGCTGATACGGTAGATGGCCGACACCGTCGCTGCACTGTACATGGCCCAATAGCAGAAAGTCAGCGCCCACGGGATGCCATCAAGCGCAAACCATGCAGGCAGAGCCATTGGCAGGTCGGGCCGCGCAGGGTAGCAGACCACACGTCCCAATTGGCTGTCGTCCAGAAGCGCCGCTGCGATCACGCATGTCTGCAAGTTGAAGAAGCCTGGAAGGAAGAACAAACACTGCAACAGCCAGCACAGGCAACCCTCTCGCAAACGTTTCCAGCAAAGTTTTCACAGTATGCTTGAGTCCAAATGCTGGCTCTGGGAGGCCGGGGAGGCAAGTCGCTGTGGGAGGGCCTGAACTCCAATCACAGATTCCAGTCTTCATGGCGGAAGCGTGTTTTTGGGATTATTTCCTGACCCTGCAGATGAGAAGGCTACGGTGATAGTGAATTGCAGGCAAGATGCCATAATTCCCGGAAGCTGCAATGGTGAGCATCAAGAGACACCAGAGAAGCGCACAGAGGATCCGGCCCCAGGGCCATCCGAGCAGTGCCAGCAAGGAGAACGGGCCCTCGGACCACAGTGTCGCCTGGACCTGTGCTTCGGAAAACCGAGAAGAGCTCCGGCTCCAGAGGTGCAGCGCACGGGCGAAAGGCTTTGGTAAGCACGTGGTGCGATGATGGTGCTGCATGGCCGTTCCAAAATTCCATTCGGGGCAGTTGGAGAATAGCTTACAAAGACAGGAGCCCCACATCAGCTTAAAGCCAAGGAGAGCAAAGCAGTGCATCGAGAGGGCGGCACAGCCCTCCCTCACAACACAGGAGCGAGGGATGCTTGCCATAGCAGCAACGGCTGCCAGGGCGCTAAGTTCCAGCGCCAAGGCATCCCACTGGTAGTGCAAGAAGTCCGCCTGCATGTAGCCACGGTACACCACCGACAGCCATACCAGGATAAGTCCAACAGCCAGCCCGCTGACAGCACACACCGGCAAGAAGCAAGAAAGAATCGCAACGACCGAACACAAACGAGCGGTGCGGCTAGGCCTTGCGCATTGCAGGTGTCTTAGAAGCAAGCTGTCCCACCAGCTTGGGCCTTGTTCCTTGTCAGTGCTCGGCACAAGCGGGGAGATTCCATCTGGCCCCATGAGGCCATCGGCTTGCCGAGCGAGTGAGGCAAACATCACGGAATTCAGTAAGAGAGCCAGTCGCGACACCAGGAGGGCTGTAAAACAGAAGGTCCTCCGACCCCGCAGCCTTGTGTAAGCCGACCATGCGACCAGGGCAGAGAGCCCATGCGCCGCGCGCACTCCGCGGAAGCTGGACCAAGGCCATCGCTTCCGCAAGGGAAGCTCGGCGAGCTCGGCCGCTGAGGCCGAGGCCGAGGCTCGAAGAAGGCGCCGCTTTGGCCTTGGCCTCCAGACGTTTTCAGGCGATACCCGCGGTAGGCCTCTTGATGGAGGGACCGCAAGCCATGCACGCAGTCTCAGAGGTTGCCCGGCTGGGAACATGGCGTGACCAAATCTCGGTCTATTTTGCCTCCTTCTATAGAGTCTAGACTTGTGGCGAGAGGGGGATGCAACTTCAAGCTGAACAGTCAAGAATGGCCGTCGTTAATTAGCTCGCATTGGGCACAGATTGCTGCTGCGTCGAGTCTAGCTCTGTCGCTCATGAATTTAATGAACCCTCGATCTCCTCCCAACTGCGCGGCAGAACCGTTGCGGCCCGTGGCATGCACTTCGCGTTCCTCTGACTTGCGGCTTTGACCCAGCCTCATCCAAGTACACTTCGTCGCTTTCGGCCACGATAAAATCTGTGGGCCTCTGGTGTGGCGGCTGACCAGGTTTCTGAATTTCAGGAGTCTGCAGCGGATTTGAGGGAGTGGGACTTCATTTGTGCACTGCCGCCCTGCGTGTAGTACGGAGTGAGGCGCCAGAAGCAAAGTCAGGAGATCCTGAGAGCCTTTGGCTCATGCATGACCTCTATTTGGCTTTCATTTGCACTGCTTTGTCTATATGCTTTGTAAGCAGTCATCCACCCAACTAAGATCCGCCATCAAGTTGGACAAAGCAGGACACCGGGTGCAGCCCTCTCCAAGACTCTTCTTGAAGGACGGGTGGGGTCATTTCATGCCCAGCTTTGGAGAAGCGCTTCGGCTGTGGAGACCAGCCATTTTGACCGGTCCCACTCCCGACATCCACCCGTCCTTTCGGGCTGCAGATTGTGGGCTCTCGGGTTGTCACTGGACAGGCTGAAACATAGCCCCTCCGTTGAAGCTGCTCGGAACAACGCTCTCACCTAGCGCTGGCTGTCAAAGCGATTCGCCATGGCGAGAAAGCGGTCCTTCTCGTAAGCCTGCGTCTCTCCTGAGGTGCAAGCTGACAGAACCGAAGGCGAATCCCAACGGGACAATGAGAGAAAGCATGGTCATGGCATTGATGATACCTATATCTGTATGCTATATCATGTATCAATACGTGGCGTTACCCACTCAACAGGACCTGCAGGACACTTCCATCCCAGTCGCTGTTGACGGAGCAGAGTGCCTTGTCCCCAGTGGCTCCGGCATGCCACCTGGGCACCGCGGCAAAGTCGCCTCCTCCTGCAGCTGCAAAGGAACGCATTCCGGTGAGTCTCTGCAGATCTCACAAGTTCTCTCTGCAGCGCCACTATTGCAGTCGGAGGTCCGTGCTTGCCCCAGCCGCTTCGCCGGAAAATGCCGATGTCCCCGTCCATCGTGACATAAAGCCGATACCTTGCCGGTTGAGACAGGCAAGGCAATTCAAGCATCTTACAAGCTCCATGCTTCTGCTCGTGCAGGTCAGCGACTGCTGGTCACGGCTCTCGATGAAGTCGTGTTGGGCACTTTGCTCCGCCAGGTGCTTGATTTCCTGCTGTGCCTGCCTGGGCTTTTGTTTCGCAGCTGATGCCGCCTCCTACCACCTGCAATGCTCCAGAGATAGTTGCAGCCAGGAGCAGCAGGCTTTGGCCATGGCTGTCCAGCTTGGAGGCAAATGCTTTCTGGCCGTGGTTGTGGGACTGTTCGATCTCCTCGATCTTCGAGGAGGCAGCAGAATGCTGCACAGTCAACCTGATCCGGCACTCTCGGAGCAAGGACCAGGACTCAGGCATACGAAGGTAAAGCCAAGGCTCTCCTCTATCTGCCTCGACACCTGCACCATCGACTCGATGGAGCTGGTGACGTGCTGATGCACTGCTCCCAGGCCTGCCCAAACCTTTGCACCTCCATGTGCTGAGTGCGAAGCCGTAGCTCCTGGATGTCCTTTGTCAGCAGATTTGAGGAGTTGTGACCAGATCGGGATGTATAGGGCCTTCATTGTCTGCTCGTTGTTCTCTTGCGCGGATGTGACGACTTGCCTCGAAAACATCTCAAACTCATGGGGCTTGACGCGCATGCACACATGACATCAAAAGACTGGCAACTGGAGCCCATCTAAACTCACCATGCGCCTCGCCTGCCTCATGCCAGTACAACCATGCTCATGCCGACAGAAACATACGCCAGCTGCAGCTGCGCGGCCAAAGCTCCTCTTTGCCGGTTTTGAACTCGGCGTGTGCATTGGCAAAGCCCTTCGACATCGCCGCCTCTTCAACTCAGCAGAACAACCCCCGGCTCGCTTGAAGAATGCCTTTTACGTACAGGGCCTGTGCACTCTGGACCAATCGAGTTGCACCCTGGAGCCTATGTCTTGGGGCCCCAAGCGCCCAACTTGAGCACTTACTGAAAGGAATCTTAAGAAACGAGCTTGAAGCCGCCAAACATCCTCAAGTCCTAGAGGCCCTAGAGGCGATGATATCTATGTTGCTCAGATTTGCTCAGCCGGAGCAATTTTGCGCAGTCATGGTTGCTTGGCCTGCCGCTGCAACTCCACGGCATGCTCAGCCACTTTGCCATTCAAAGCCGCATGGGCCAATTCCTGGCTCGACTGACACTGCCTCTAGTACAGGAACAACCGGAACTACCCACGACGGGTTTTTGCCTCCTCCTCCAGGGACTGGCGTAGAGCCATGGTCTCGGTGACCCATCGCTGCACCGATGTGGTCGACTCTTGGTAGGACTGCGACTCCTGGACGGGGAGCCACCAGAGGCTTCGGCACCTTTCTTTCTACTTCTGAAGCTCCTGCCTTCGCGAGGGCATCCCGGAGCTCCGACAACTCTGTGGCGAGGCCGATGGCAGAGATGCGAGTTTGCTGGTGCTCGGCTGCCATCCTAAGGACTCCAAAATCTGGGCACTGGCTGCGATTGGACGGCATGAGCTCATAATCCACCACCCATCAGCACTGCCCCGAACTGAACTCGAATCCCAGTCCATCTAGTCGGGCATGGTAAATGTCTTCAGGGACTTCTTGTATCTTCTTGTTGGCCCTACGGTATCCCGAAAAGTTACTTGCATGGTCAAGAGGCGCAGAAACAGCCAAGGCATGTTTTTCGACCGAGAATCTCTGTGCAAAGCTGCTGCGAAGCAGTCTCCACAGTGTGGAATCGCTGCTTCCACTGCTCCGCTTCGCAGGCAGCCTCGGTCCTGGACATGAATCCGAATATCTTTCTCAAGCTTCATGTCCCTGCTCTCAATCGATGCCTAGTCTTTTCTTTTCTGCTTTGGACGGCTACTGGGCTTCCCGACTGCACGTTGGCAATCTTCTCAACGAGCACCTCCTGGACGTTTTACTCGTGACTCGAGCTCTGCTCGGACTCCGCTGGCTGGCCTCTCGCTCGTGCAGTGCCGCGGCACCAGTCTGCAGAGCACCCTGGATTTTGGCCTCCACCTGTGCAGAAAAGTCTGTCGCCCATCTCGGGCATCTGAAAGCTTTACTGATGCAGACTGTCCGAGTACTGCCCCGGCTCTGGCATCTGCGCTGTCCTAACTGGCCTGAAGCTTTCATGCCAGCTTGTCGTTACAATCGAAACTGCGATCTGATGCATCTTCCCTGCATGCGAGGAGGCCTTACAACGGCCTGTTCACTGAAGCAATCGAGCACTCTTCCCCCCTGATGATCAGCTACATACATTTTGGCAACTCGACATGCTGACCTTGCAGACTACCTCGCGTTTGAGAACTGAAGTCTCTAGACTCTAGTCAAACATTGTATGTGGATGTTCATGATATCGGCCATCGACCAACACAGGAGAGAATGCGAGAAGGATTGCCATATGGACAGATTCGCAGGATTCGGAAGTCTTCGATGGGGACTGACTGCAGGCCGGACAATGTTTACGTGCACCTCTGGCGGCCCGAAACCCACCCTTTCCCTCTCAACACAGATACAGACTTTGATGTATTCCCCGCCCCCCCCCCCCCTCCCCGAAACTCTTAATCACAAGATCTAAGTGATCAGTTGCGTTGAAATCTCTATGTAATGTGTGGAGCATGCTTGACATGTTTGTTTACGTTGCCGAAGTTGAAAGCTGTCAGTGACTCAGGAGGCAGTGGCGAGTTGCACAAACCTTCAGTCGAGCCTATAAACTCCTTTGTAAACCATCCGACGGCTGGCACTAATAAGAAGATGAAATAATGTAGGCACACAGAGTATCGAGGATAGGTTAGGACGCAGCCCACAAAAGAGTATGCAGAAAGTTTGCACAAAGGCATGCTGCGACTCTCACTGGACACCTGGGCCCCCAAGTCATCGAGCATGGCCCGGCTCGCAGCGCTGTCACCTGCAGGCGGCCACTTCCCACCAGCACTTTTGTGCCTACATTCCAGCATGATCTGCAACTCTCAAGCCAAGTTGCTGAAGGAGTTCTGAAACTCAGTCATTCTGGTATGGACGTTTTCAGACAGCGCGCGCTGATCCTGGCAAAGCCACCGGCTGCAAAGTCCGATTTCGACCGACGGAAGACCTCGCCTCTGTCACAGCCATGAGCTGCGCCCCGATCTGCTGCGCAATGCTGTCTAGGCCTGGGTACTGCCCCGGATAAATACCTACTGTAGCAACACTGTTTTTTAGCAAGAGATGTCGCTAGGCTGGAAGTGCTGATGTCCGCTGGAACTGAACATGCCACGGTGCAACTGCTCAGCCGCTGGAGCTCACCATCTGTGCTGCGACTGCGCATCGTCACCTGCAGATCTCCAGAAACCTAAAGCTCAGCGTCAAGAAGCCTTGGCTGTGTGCCTAGGCCTAGTGACCTAGTGGTCAAAGCTTCACATACAACCGCCTCTTCGTGCAGAATCGACAGCCGCTCTTCCAAGTGCTCGTGGACCTTGTGCCAACTTTGGGCTGCTCTCCAACAGACTCCGAAGTCTATCCGGGTCGATCTTGCCTCGTTGCGAATAGATGCAAGAGCAGCTGCAACGGAATCCTGCGCGCGAAACAACGCCATGGCACGGAAGGCGAGCTGCACGCACGGATATGCAAGGGGTGGATTCGACTGCTCTGGGCTCGAATGGGTGCCGAGGTCTTTCCTTTTCGTGGAGCCGCTGCTGCCGGTCTGCTTGGATGTCCTCGCCTCAAAAGCCACACGCACTTCGCACGTTGACGCAAAAAAAAATCTGAGGTGCGCACGCATCTCCTCCAGACCCGCGTGCAGCTTCTGCAAAGCCTCCGGCGACTCCGACACCGTGGAAGGTTTGCGCGGGCTGTCTTCACATCATGGCCAGTGCCCATGCAGCGGGCGCCAGCCTCTGCGAACTTCATGAACTGCTCCCGAAGAAGCCTCAGCTTTCCGTTGATGAATAACAAGCTTCCTTATGCTCCGGGCAGTCAGGCTTCACGAGCTGAGACAGGAGGCTCTGACTGCTGGAAAGCAAGACCTCGCACAGTCGGGTCCGTGGAGTTTGAACGAGAGTGACATGTCAGAAAAGCCCTAGTGCTGGCCTTGTTGCCTAACCAAGGGGTCCATGTTGGGCATGATGAACCTCGGATGTCTCGCGTGCTCCGTGCATACTGCCTGGATCTGGACATGCTTGGACAATACTGATGACTTTTTGTTTCGACCAATATTGATGATACTTCCCGAGCCGCGGCTGCCGAGGCGAAACCGCTGCCGGCGACATCGGCGATATGGGGGCATCTAGACCCCCTTGTCGGCCATCTCCTCGCAATGGATGCCCGCTTCAGCTCCAACTCTCGCTACGACAAACACGCCACTACAAGTAGCCTGGAATGGCATCCAGACCCGATGGAGGTGGGGCAGACCGGCGACCCTCTGCAGTCGGCGCGACTCCAAGGAAGCTTCCCGATGCTGCAGAAGCGGCAGTCGGACGCCATAGCGACATGGCTGATGAGACAAGCAGAACTGTAGGATGCCCTCGGATGGATGCTCTAGAAGGCGCAGAATAATAAACGCTTACAAGATCTCACAAGGCTCCGTCTCATCTCAGTCTACAAAGGCATGCAAGGACTTTGATATCCCCGGTGTCGTCGCATGTCTGCCCCGTCACTCATTCTGTGGAAACTCTACATGCAGCCCCTGTCGTGGCCATTCACAGGGAGACGATTCGGAGACGACGTTAAGAAGAAGCTGCAGTCTGGAATTGCAAAGGATTGCAACAGCTTTGGCGGCTGCCTTCTGTGCCTGCTCGGGTCCAACCTGTCCAAGGATGCAGCTGCATACCGCAACCGAATAGCTTGTAAGTTCATGCGCCCGCCAACCACATTCTAACTCTGGCTCGAATCTCACACGACTTCACGAAGCGCTTAATTTTCTGGTTTCATCGTGCCAAATCTTGCCTGGGGGCCTAGAAAATAAGCCTGGACCTGGGATGGGAACAACAAGCGCATCGCAACTGTCGGCTATTATAGGCAAGCAGAGGACCCGGAGCTGTTGCAAAGGACGCACGCAGTCAGGATCAGCTAACCAACCACGGATGTCCAACACGCGGCCTGTGACTTGCCCAAGGCGAGGTGGCAGCCCCGAAACCTTCCTCAGCTGCCCGACAGTAACGGTCCACCTGCAAATATCTCCTCACGTCACCTTAGGCGACCACTGAAAAGTCCGTCTGTTTCGGCATCTCGCCACGATGCCAAACAGCCTGAGGCTCGGCATTCCTTGTTGCAACTTCGTCGCTGTGTTTCTTGGCAGCCTCGGATACACCTGCAGCCCAGTCTGCCGGGTCCTTGCACGCGGCAGGCATCTGACAGGACCTGTAATCATTGCAATCATCAATCACAGATTCGCGGCCCGATCCCCGACATCAACGGAATTCGGGTTTGGTTCCAAAGTACGCATCGAGACGACCGGCGTCTCATCTTTTCAAGGCTGTCCTTTGACTCGACATCGCTGGGCGCAGCAGCGGTGGAGCAGAGCTCCCAAAACCTGACGGCGACGCCAACCCGGGGCATTCCTTTTTCTTGCTGGCGTGCTGTATACTTTGCCCCCGACAAGCCCGTCAAAGCAAAGAGCAGCGCATCATGGGCCTCAGTGAGGCACAGTCAGGACGTCAGGCATCGTCATGTAGACCAAATCATTGGCATTTGGGGCTTGAGCGCGCATCTGCCACCCATTGCTTCTAACGTGCATTCTCTGCGTGCCACCTACGTTATAAGCGCACTGCTACATGCGGCTAAGTTGGCGTTGGCTCAGCTCGATGGTCTCAAACAGATCTGAGGGGCACCGGCAAAGGAAGTGAGACTTAGAGGCTGGCTAACCTTGTATTTCTGTGCTCCTTGTTGATCTGCCCATTCTGCCCCTACATAACTTGACTTTCCCAGCGCTGAGGGCACACGCAAACCAAGCCTTCACACGACCCATCTCCCCCCAGACACGGTGACTCTCCCCCCATCGTCACCATTCGTCACCAGCCTCTTCGAAGAGGTTGGAGTCTGAATGGTACTGCGATGTACTGCGTACTGACCAACTCGCGGCTGCGCTACGACAGCCGCCTTTCTGGTGTTGACGCTGTGCGGTTCGCCACCGTCGCCGGGTGAAACCTGACGCCCCAGTCTTTGGAGCAACCAGACCTTCAGCTTTCAGAAGACGCCAGCAAATCTGCTGCTCCTGCATGTGGGTTGTCGTGCATCATGCCCATGGCAGCCATACAGCCGCTTCAGCATCTTTGGCGACTGCTGCAAAGGAGACAGGACATGGCAGTCCTCACACTCACAGGACGGCTGTCCACCACATCCCTTGCCGAGCCCAGAGGCTCATACTCTCGGACCAAGGATGCCTCGGCAACGACCGCAGCAACGGCTTGCGCAGGGAATCTGGAGATGCAAAGCGCCCTGCGCGGAAGAGGCTCCATTGCTGCTGAACGCGGCGCACCCGCTCTGATAAAGTCTCCGGGGGCAAGTCCTACAAGAGTCTGAGAAACAGGCTACTTCGAAAAAGTGAAGCGGATGGCTCCTCTTCCACCGAGACGGCGTCCTTCACAAGGCGTGGGCTCCTCTACGCTCCTCTGCTTCAATTCAACATCAAGCTCAGCTGCCTCCGTCGTTGGTGCATCCGGCGTCATCACCGCACAGCCTCGAAGGCTGAAAACAAAGCACATGAGCTGCACAAGCCGGCAGGACATGAATGGACATGAGACGAAGTAAACAACAAATTACTCAAGGCATGAAAAGCGCAACAATCAAACTACAAGCCTACACATCTGTTCCTGCATAGTTGTTGACGGCTACCGGCCGCTGAAGACTGGACTGCGGTTCTCTTCGTCGAAGCGTGCGGTTCGCCAAAGCGGGCGGTATGCGCGGTGCACAACAACGCACATCCATCAGTGGATCTCAGGAGATCTCAGAAGCTATCGTGTGTTATTTCCCTGAGAGATACAGGTTAATGAAACATGCAGAATGTTGCGACGAGCGCCGCCAAGCTTCATTCGGCCACACAGAGAGCCCCGGCAAGCAATGCCACCAGGAACCTCGTGGACGACCCATTCCCTAATCATCCAGTCCAGCTCCATGCCTTGAAACTGGGCTGCCGGCCCAGCCACTAGCAATCTGGTTCGGCTCAGCCTCCGCTGCAAGGCGGCAGTCATCTTGAGGCCCGCAAGCGCGGCTGGTTTCAGATGGGTTTCATCGGGGCTGCACTGGGCTTGACGAACTCAACAGTGCCTGCTAGAATGTTTTGCCTGCGTGGCAGGCTTTGAAAGTCGCAGAGCATAGGCCGCACGCTGACCAAGATTGTGCAAGCACTGTTGCATTCGGGGCACCTCCACCTATCGAACCGAGAACCGAGGCCCCTCTTCTGCACGAGATGGGACAATGTGCAACTGCGCAGTCTCCCTCCCCTTGAATGGAGAACAACTTTACGTTGTCAGTGCGATAGCGCGTGGCACAAGATCGATAATAACTTGCAGTCTACGACTTCACGGGGGCATTGACTGGCATGGTCTGCGATGACCTCGTTTCGACAGCCGCCTGTGCAATACGACGCCGGCGTCTCTCTCATCCCGCCTGGCGGCCGTGCCCTGTCTGGCAGCTCGGGAGCCCCATAGAGAGGGCCTCTGCAGCGAAACCTCGGACGTGGATCTTGCCGACGCCCAGAAACTACGCACTGTGTTGGGGCTGTTCACCCGGACATACTCTCTAGTCTAGAAGGTTCTCGAGGGAAGGTTGCACAGCGACTTCTTGGGGACGCGGCTACATGACATCCGCTTCCGTGAGGCGCAAGCACCCAGCAAGTAGAGCTTCCTGACAAATAATTACGGTGGAAACCTTGGACTTGAGAGATGAATCACAAGTCAGCCGAGTGCGAGCAGAACTTGTTTGCCTGCGCCAGCTCACGCACTGCCTTCTCAGGCTGAGTGCGCCTATTGTGGGCACAGGTGGCCCTCAATTTCAAAAACTCGTCTCTCTGCGAAGCATCCGCATCTATGCGCCACAAAACAAGAAATTACACCCGATTCTGTTCCTAGTGCGAGAAGTATACATGTGACATGTACATCACGATCATGCGGCTGCTATCTGGGCCAGGAGCTGGGCAAAGCTTCATCTTTACATCCATTGCACCTGGGTCTCCGTCACGTCGCAGGTCCAAATGTTTGCAGGGCATGACACGACATTGATATATAGACGGCTATAGGTATAGGGCACGTAGGGGATGGTAAGGGTGGGAAATGGTAGAAGATGAATTTCGACATCCTGCCTGTGCTGTGGGCCTTTACTCGACCGCATGCATCTGGCAGTCTTCGACAGACACCCGTATGATGCACGTGTGAAACGTGGGCCTGGTGAAGGGCCTCTGGCAACACTGCTCTTATTGCAATTGCTAAACAGGCCCCATGGCCATGGTTCTGCCTGCTCCGAGACAAACACCCACTTGCAACCTTGTTGAAAGATGTTGAAAGCAGCGCTGGCAGAGAGCAGCTCAAAATTTCCACCACTACCCTTCTTCAAACACGGCCACGCTTGCGTACTTCAAACGTTGTTGGCGCTGCAGTGGTGCCACCCACAAGTGTAACAAGTGGATGGTGCTGCGCTGCCTGAATTTGACTAGTTGGTACTTGAACCTAGCACTGCTCAAGTAATCAACACTCGACAATGCATCACTCATGAGCCGTTTCACTGCCTTCCCTTCAGGAAACTCCAGGAAGGAGCGGCAGGGACCGAACTTTACGCATTTCCGAGACTTCCCGCTCTGGCTCATCCTGGAGTTCGAGGAAGGTGTTCTTTACTCGCAGCTCCAATCCCGAGGAGGGCTCCGGAGCAACGACATTCTCTGAGGCGCTGGCAGTGGAGGAGTCACGGCTGAACCCCGCGGAGGCTGTCTCCATGCCTTCCCAAGTGGTCTGGCGGCTGAAGTTGCTGCTGCTGTCGAAGCAGCACTCCACATCCTTCTCCTGTTGTACCGTTGCCTTGACTGGCTTGACTGGCGCTGGTGCCCTTGCACACGCAGACTGCAGCATCAGTTTCAGTGCTGCCTGCTCGTGCAGAGCATGCTGCGCACGCAAAGTCTGGAGGACCTGCGCTGCTGCTTCCACGTGACTCTTTTCACTTTGCTTAGCTGCTGAATTGGCGGTGACTGGAGTCGCAGTAGCAGGCTTGGATGGCCTGCCCACTTTGGCCGCCGAGCCCGGTCGTAGCTCGCTCTTGCTGTGGGCAAACCTGCATGCCTGACCTGCGGTGCACCTGCCCAGCTCGACGAAGTCCGCGCAGAGTCGGGTTTTCGAGAAGTCTGGCTGATCCCGCAGCTGTTCGGACCCGTGCGCGAAGGCGCAGCTCGAGCCACGCGTGCAGGCCCCCACGGCGAAGAACTTACACAGCCGGGTCTTCATGTGCACATCGAGGCGCCTCGCTTCCCTGTCGTCTGTCAAAACCACATTGGGACTTGCTGCCGACATTGCACTGCGCCGATGGTGGAAGGCCTTGACCTACGTCTGTGACCTAGGGCGTCCCTGCTGAGAACCTGTGAAGGAGCCACGCAGCATCATCGGTTACCCGTCCCAGTGATGGCGCGTCTAGCACCGAGTTCCCGCAAGGCAGCCCCCCTGTGTCCGCCCGAGCTGCTATTGAAAAATATGGCAAGGATGGCCAGTCGAAGAAGTCGCATGATGAATAGTTTTTATCAAAGCGGGCGCATTCAATCACCCTCCAGAAGAACCGGAATCCCAGACGTTGCTGACATGGCGTGCGGAGCCGAAGTACACAGAATTTTCGAGGTGCGGGTTTACCTGTTTACCTGTGGCGGAAGTGCAAGTACGCCGCAAAGAAACCATCTGTGAGAGTGCAGCCGCCCTCTTTGTCAATCCATTTGCCTCTCACATGAGAGGCCCGAGAAGGTTTCTGCATTAATTAAACACGACAAGGTTCGGATGCTCCCGGGTACATCGATAGGCTCGAAGAGATCCGCAAGAAAACTGTTCCATGCTGGACAGACTCAAAGACGCACGTGGCAGCAGGATCAGATACCAGACCATCCTTCCCGTGGTGGAAAGCTGTCAAGGAGTTTCTGCCTTAAGCGGCACGACTCTTTCTAGTGGCACTCAGAGACAATGGTCTTGGTGTCCGGCGCCGTTGCTAAACTCTCGGTGTGGGACCTGAGAAGGCTGAGCAGACTAAGCAGGTCTTACAGCGCCGAGCTCCCAATCGGTAACCGAACATCATCTCGCACATAACGACTTTGTCATCTTGCAGAGGCCCAGGCCACTTCGGCAGGCCGGCCTCGTAGCCTCGGTGACTCAGGCGGAATCGTCAAACGACTATCAAAATCTAGCGCCTCGGATCTCCTTCTCGGATCTTTTGAGGAGAGGCTGCAGCGCACATGCCCCCACGCCCGCTTTAGCTGTCGTGGCTGAACGTCTCTCTCTCCCACTCTTTCCAGGTCTCGCTGACTCTTCTTCTGCTGCAGCAGACTGAAGGCACACCCCTGCACGATGTCACACCTAGTCATGCGTCTGGGTGAGAAAATGGTGAGATGCCTTCATCCCCCCAGGTCTGATGCTGCAATGCCCCCCAAACCTATGCCCCCATCCCGCCTGAAAGCTAAGACCTGCACCGCTGACTCGCTCTCTTTCCGAACCCACCCCTCCTTGCGCGCGCCTGCTGTGCCTGTAGGTTTGTTTCCCTCTCGCCTCTTGCGACTAA